TCTGTTTTTACTGTAGTTCCCAAACTTATATTATATTTTCCGGTATGTTAGTCGTTGCTTTGTTCTAAACTGAAGAGCGTGCAAATATATGGTTATTATTGAAGATCTTTTTATTTCTGTACTGTAGGCCAGGGCTACTCAGCCCGCGGTCCGAATAGGGACCTTTCGAGTATTTGATTCGGACCGCACCTAATTCTTTATTTTGGACCATTAGCATCACTTTTAAAGTTTCATTTTATAAAGTGACTTTCATTGTTTGGAATATATATGAAAAAAACTATAACACTATAACAAACAAGCTTGATTAGCTAATAATCATTAGCCGGTCGAGGAAGTGTGCGTTTGAGGATGCCGAAATATAATTTGTGAAAACACCGGACCCAAATAATTTTGAAGTTTTGTATGCGGATCTTCGATAAAAATAGTTGAGTCGCCCTGCTGTAGGCTACTCTAATACAACGTTTCCCAGTCGGGAAGGAATTTCACCTTTGGGATAAATTTTGTCATTCTTGAGGAGTATTATTTATATTCTTAAGTCCTTTATTATTTCTACAATACTTATTCGTGCACATATTATAAACTATTTTAACTGTACAAAAGAGGGAGATTGACTTGTGCATAACACTAGATATGAATCCATTAAAGATCTAACAAATCACGGAAACAGAGTTTTCATGCAAAGCAAGGGAGAATAAAACGATCTAATTGAGCGAACGTAGAAATTTCACGATGAAGTTGGAAACCACAGCTTTAATTCAAAGTTTATAAGGTAGTAGTATCAAGCACGCCATGTTTTGAAGTTCGACTAAGATCTCGACCGTTTTTATACAATACAACACTCGGTACTTTGTCACTTTGTTGCATTGTATAAAAACTCTTGCACGAATTGGAAAATAGTGTGCCAGAAGTATTAGTCAAATCATATCCATTGAATGCAGCTCTTGTAATAGATGGTATGGCTTTATTGCAATCTTTGAGTAATATTCCGGAAACTTTTGGAAGACTCTTGAATATGATTTTCGACAGAATAATTAATATGGCAAAGTCTTACAATTGTAACAGGGTTGACTTTGTGTGTGACACTTATCCAGATATTAGCATAAAAAATTTTGAAAGGTGTCGAAGATCATCGAATGAAAGCGAAATCATCAAAATAGTAGGATTGGAACAAAAAACGCCTAAACAGTTTAAAAAGTTTTTGTTTTCCGGCAAGAATAAGGTGGCTGTTGTAGAATTTTTAATTTCGTTTGCTCCGAATTATCAACCTTCATGTTCTGTAGGGAATATGAAAATTTTTATCGGCCACGGTGCTGAGTGTCACTGCATCAATTTCAGGCAATTCCAGCTTTGCGTATCGGGCGAGCCTTCTTTGGTCAACGATCACGAAGAAGCAGATACCAAGCTTTTATTACACGCAAAGCATTGTTCATCGGAATTTAACGACGTAATTATTAACAGTCCTGATACCGATGTATTGATATTGTCATTGGCACATTCTTCCGATATTGGATGTAATTTGTATTTTTTAACGGGAAGTGGTTCGCAGTCCAGGATGTTATCAATCAGAAAAATGGTTAACTACTTCGGAAATGTCTTTTGCAAAGCTATTCTGGGTCTACATGTATTTAGCGGATGTGACACCATTAGCGCTTTCCGTGGAAAGGGAAAAGTGAAGGGTATGCGACATTTATTGAAATCAAAAGAATTCATACAAGCTTTTTCAAAGTTAGGAGATCAGTGGTACATTCCAGAAAATATTTATATTCAACTTTCAAAGTTTGTTTGCACTCTTTATGGTTACTCTGATGAGATGTCTGTTAACAAAGTACGTTTTGAAATATTTCAAAATAAATCGTTAGACGAACCCTGTATGCCCCCATCTGATGATGCTATCGTACTCCATTCAGCACGTGCAAACTACCAATGTGCCATACACAGAAGAGCACTGCAAAATTTTATATCTGCTCCAAATCCTGATGACCACGGATGGATAGTAAATGATAGCAATATAAATATTAAACAGATTTCAAAACAAATTGCCCCAAACTCAGTGCTAAACCATTCTAAATGCAGATGCGCCAAATTAAATTGCAAGAGCAGCAAATGCCCTTGTGTGAAGTCAGGGTTTTCATGCTCCAGTTTGTGCAGCTGCAACGATTGTAGCAACGCGGATGTCATACGTGAGGAAGACGATGATATTAATATCGAAATATGGTTTTAACTTTCATCCCAAACAACTAAAATAGTGACATACATTCATTATACGAGATGACGAGCACGAATTATTTCAATTTAAACATATTCAATAGTGATTATGCACCATATTAGCCGCTTGCTTGTTCATTTTTTATATTTTAATTGCTTTTTTTTGCAATTCTTACAATTGTCATAGTAAATTTTATAGCAGGTGGGACATGAGAAATATTTTGCCTTTTGTTTTTTTATTATTTCTGGCCACACGCGCTCTTGCTCTCTCTGTACTCGTTTTCTGTTCTTTCCATAGCATAGTGTTATTTAATGTTTAGTTTTGCCATAATTAGTTTTGTTACTTTTACGGAAGAATTTGCCATAAAAAAAATAGTTTTGAAATATCCGTTTCTGTGTGTATCGATAGGAAACAGCAGGGATGGTCATTGCAGATTACTTAGTCTCCGCACAATAACAGAAAAAAAATGTTGAAAAGCAGTTATGACGTCACATTTGACCAAAGAGCAAATTGTGACGTCACCTGTACCAAAACTCACCCCTCAAAAATTTTATTTTACGAATCCGTCAAAGGTTTCGGTATTGGACGTACAAATCTCAGGTTTAAGTAGAATATTATATGGTATATATGGGTTGAGAGGGCATGTGACGTCATCGTTAATTGTGACGTAATGCTCCACTTTGGAGATGTCAACTTTTTATATTTAGTAAATTAGGCTTTTAGCTTTTTGACCCACCAAAATTTAGGTTCCCCCTCGAGGGTCACCACGAACTCGATTTTTAAGCGCTTTACAGATTTCGGCCCATGGCCTATTGCTACAATTCCGCCAATTTTTGTATGGGTGTCATTATATTACTGTATTATGACACTATGTAAACTGTAAAAGGAGAGTGAAACATCAAAATCTTACTACGCGAGTCGAAAGCTTGAATTGCAACAAGTCTGGTGAGCGAGTGGTCATGGGACCGAAATGCACTGGACACGTATGTGTGATGCGTGTCCCGCCTTCATTCGCCCAATATGTTTTATAAAGCACTTCCGCGTCTGTGCGAAGCAGTTGTTATAGGCTAGGTCTAGTTGTTAGTAAGTTGTATCTCAGCGGAGTAAGTTACGACGTAATAGCGTAAATAGTACCTTGCTTAAGTAATTGAAACAGACAGTCTGTTGATAAGGATTAGTCTTCGACACTGGTGTCCGTACCGAGAATCGTAAAGAATGAGTGTTTATATTCGATTTCTTTTAGCGCCTGCCTTGGTAGTTACGGTAGGTTCCGAGCATAACTGCGTGAGGCACAATTGACCAAAGTTCATGTGTGGCTCATGATTGATTTTTGCAATCAAATTTACTCGTTATTTTGATCAAATACTCCTACGTTTTAAAATCCAGAAATCCATCAATATTTAAACGTTTTCTGTGGCGGATATGGTAACTCCAATGGTATTCTTACATTTGAATCATTGAATCTGTGTCTGCCTAATCAGGTATATTTACTTTCCATATTTGAGCCTGGTACGTAGGTCTAGGGCAGGGGTCGGGAACCTTTTTGGTCAAGAGAGCCCTGAAATATACATATTTTCAATTGCATTTTCGTGCGAGCCATATAACATTTCTTCACTTAATCAGGCCTGAAAGGTTTACTCAAAAGTCAACACATTTCATGTCAATATACATTTAATGTGACTTCTGATGCTGCATGTTGTCGCTGCGGGCCTTGAACGGTTGCTCACATGCAGCCCAAGTTGGAATCTACGATACTCATCACCCTTTTTCGTTTAGGCATCTTCGTAGTATTTTAAAACTCTATCGCTTTGTGATGTCACAATATATGTTCCAGAATCCCCATGTTTTGTCACAATGCGTGTCTGGTAATTCTCTTACATAACATAGACATGCGCTGGGCCCGCGTTGTCAAACGTATAGGGATTTTTTTGCCAAATTTGGCCATAAAATAGTTTGAAGTCTAGTAACAATAGTAAGCTTAATCTTAGAATAATAGATTTTTCTGGGAGCCATATGCCGTCACCAAAAGAGCCATATATGGCTCGCGAGCCATGGGTTCCCGACCCCTGGTCTAGGGAACTAATGTTACAAATACCTATATTGACTGATTACTGGATTAATTTCCCCAAGTTTTTCGGAGTGCTTTGCTCAAAACTTCACACAGTCCCACCTCTCATTTGTTATATTAAATTGTAGTAATTGCCAACTCATTTCTTTATTATTTATTTTAAATTCTGCGATCATGACTACTGTTAATGCTATCGAATGAATGCTTTCATACAGCATATATTTCTGGGTCAGCAGTGTTGATGGCCTCAAATGATACTTTCATCCAACTAATATCATAATATTGTCCCAGTACAGCAGTAGCTGTTTTTGATTTTTGTTTGTGGAAAATAAATCTCTGTTGCCATTTGTAATATGGTAAAATCATAGTTAATATTTATTATAAATAGGAGGTACAACTTTAGGTAGCTTCACACATATTAGAATTTTTTTTGATTCTTTCTGGGGTTGCTCGGGGTCTTATTGAGCAAATTGTCAGCAACGTTTTCAGTGATATTGTCCATGATTCATAGAATACTTTACATTGTGTTTTGTGACCGAGCATAAGTTTATGCTTTGCAACTTCAATGAAATGACACCTGAAATACATATAAAAGCCTATTTTTGTGCAACAATGCCATTTACCAAGGCCGCAGTTTCTGCATGTCTGGTTATGTAAAAAGCAGCCAACTGGAAATTATTTTCTGGTTTTATAAAATATAGTCATAGACCTAGTTATGAAGTGCTTATTCCATTTCAGAAATTAATATTGAACAGTTGTAGACTTGAAATTAAATTGTGATTGAATAACTTCTGGAACAATGTGGTTAAAAATAACCATACTACTTGGAATTGTTATATTATGTTGTACACCATGTATGTGGACATTTGGTTTTGGTTCAGATCGAGTACTTTTACGTGATATTTCTGCAATAACACTTCATCAAGGTCAAATGACAACCGGGCGAAGGTCATCTCCGGTGCCACAGTTGAAATGTGTTGGAGGAACTGCGGGGTGCCATGGTTTTGTTCCACAAACAGTCCAATGCAGAAATGTGGGATTCGATGGCCATGATGTTCAATGGGAATGCAAAACTGATATGGATGACTCGTATCGTTTTGGGAAAGTACAAGTTACTTGTGAAGGTTATGACTACCCAGACGATCCCTATGTTTTGAAAGGATCTTGTGGTTTGGAGTACACAATTGATGTAACTGATGCAGGAAAATCCAGAAACCAAAATAGTTGGGGCGGGTATAATTACGGACAATCAAACTTACAGCATAAAGAGTCTTCAGGATCTTGTTTTCTGGGATTATTGGTTGTTGGGGCGATTGTGTTCCTAATTTATAAAATGTGTTCTGCTGTAAGTGAAAATCAACCGAACCATTCCAGGGGTACCAGTTCTAACCATAGATCACCTCCTGGAAACAACCAACCACCTCCTTATGGTTTCAAACCAGAGTACTCACAGACTGGTGGCAATTATGAACCTCCACCAGCGTATTCTGATGCTACCGGCGACAGGACACGTACATCTTCTTCAACGACAACAAACAATTCATCACCTGCTGGTGGCTTTTGGTCTGGCATGGGATGGGGAGGTGTACTTGGTTATCTTTTTGGACGAAGAGGCAATAATTATGGATATGGGTATCCAAGAAATAATTATGGCACTGGATACAATGGAGGGTGGGGTGGCAGCGGATGGGGCGGTAATCGTGGATGGGGTAGCAGTGGGTGGGGAGGAAATCGAGGATGGGGCAACTCCTGGCAATCGGGAACATCTCATACCACATACAGAGGCAGCAGGTCGTCATCATCTGGAACATCAAGGACTGCTTCTGGGTTTGGGGAGACCTCAAGAAGATAACATTGTCTTTGCTCCTTTTACTTTCATATTTTGTTTGTACATATGTAATGTTTTGCACTTCCACATGATTTTTTTTCTGTATTATTCCATATTAGTTATTCAAAAAGGATGAATACTGCAATGGTTAATTTGTTTAATGAGATTCACTTTTGTAGAAACTGAACTGTGTTTGTAACTATAGGCAATCACTTTCAATCATCTGAGTAAAGTGATGGGAGAAAAATTGATGATGTATAATTTAAAATAATAGGTGTATGTAGTTGCATATTGCTTTTACAGTGTCAATTTTTTTTAATAAATCGAATGTTGTTTATCAGTTTGTCATCTGTATAGGAACAAACCCCCGCATTACATCAACCTAGCCCGCGAAATGCCATCATAACAACTGAACGAACGAAACAAAAGTACTCCCCGGTTACGATTCGTGAAATACACAACCACAAAATTTGTCATTCACAGGAATAACATGTGGAAAAATGGATGGTACATTCAAAGTGCAGTGTCACTGGTGTTCTGTGCGTATATGCAGCATGTTATCCTACTCGCATTATTACATAGGACCAGAGACTCGTCAATACAGTACAGCTTTTCAATTGAAAAGAGTTGTCGAATTTGCCCAGACATATCCTTCAATTATTAAGCTGATTTTTTTCTTTAATTCAATTTCTGTAACTGATTTAGCTGTCTATAGCTAAAGCCTCACCCCTGAAGTCACGGACCCATGCAGTAATTGCTATTTTGCCTCATGATCTGTTACTTCATTGAAAAATGCCTTGTTATATATATAAATTCAACAGGCTGAGAGACAATAAGACACTTTGTATGTGTACTAGTAATCAACTGATGGTCAATATTGTGCGAAATGTTTTATTGTCATTTTGTAGACATGGAAAGAAAATATCATGAATCATAAATTCATACGAAATTCAAAAAACATTGGCATGTATGAAGAATGCAGTGTTGTCAGTCAGACTCGATCATGCTGAATAGAGCATAAACAGAAGTCACTATTTCCTCTCAATAATCAGCATTAATCATACCCATTAGGTTGATGTTTCATTGCCACAAGTGTATGGAGCTGAAATTCCCAGATTCATGTAATAGCATAACAAGAGGAATGTTGACAAAATTTCAGCATCCTAGTTTCAATACAAATTTTGCAAATCAAAACGACTTGTATTTCCACATCTTTGAACAATCCAACGCAATCAAAACTCCATAGTACACAACCTAACATTTCATGATCATAGTTTTAATTTTCAACAATCACCTCTGAGTATTGCAATGGCTTCGTACATCAAAATGTTTTGTCAAGTATTGCAATCAACCCACTTAATACCTGTCTTTAGCATGTTAGATATGCATAACATCCATTTTCAGACAGTTTTACTCTGCATATCTCAATTTTCTTTCGCCACTTCGGTCCCATATATTGATGGTTGTTTAGTGACAATTGCATTTAATGATTTCTTAAATTTCATGAAATGTCGTTTAAATTCGAGACCATCTCCTTTCGACAAGCGCAAATCCACCAGACAGCGCTGGTTATCACTGGAATTATTCTCAATAATACAAACTTTAAAAACAAGTGAGTTTTTTCGTCGGTCCGTAGTAGAAACCGTCAGAATACCAGGTGACATTTGCTTCACAGAATGCCTGAAGATAAAGAGAACCTGGTGTAAGCATTAGGAGGGCACAGTGCCTAATTTCAAGGGCAGGCGCTCCGGGCAGCACGTTATAGGGATGAGTTTGCTTAGTTTGATGATTTGATTAATAATATTACGAACATTTTACTACTACTTGATCTTTAATTTGATTATTCTCATGTAAAACAACATCTATAATTTGTATATCCCCCAATTTATTTTTGAAGTTAGGTATAATAACATTACAGGAACTGCCCGGCGTTCCGGACAGGAGAAAAGTTTGACAGACCACTGAGTGTGGATTAGAATTTTAATATGACAGATAAAACAACAGATATACCATTCCTAAAATCTAAGGAATAATCTAAGTCCAGATTCGAACAACAACTCCTCAAAAAATAGCATTCTAACAAAAATTTTGTTTGATCCTGTGCACTCAAATTCAAAAAACGAAATGATTGTGAAATCTAGCTGCCAAGCTTACCCAAACTTTTTGCAAACTTTCGTAATCTCATTAATAGTTTCTTCTGTAGTTTTACTGCTCCAGAATCTGGTCATACGTTTAACAAGTTTCTGCCACATATTTTGTGTTGTAGCTGGTGTATTCATCCATTGAGAACTAAGTAGCATATTATCCATTTCGACAGGCTGAAATGGGTAAAATTTTTAAAATTGAGCACAATAAGATGAGCACGAGAAAACTTTCGTAACTGATTACCAGTAGGGAGTTATTTGATTTCCAGTTTATCGTTGAAATTTTCATAGTAATACTGCCTCAGATTTATTTTTAAACAAGAAGAATGTCCTGTTTGGACAGAAATATTTGACATGAGCTTGCAGTGGGATTTGCCCCAAATTTTGTGCATTACAAACACATGCTATAGCACGATTTGTGGATGCAGACGAACAACAAAAATATAATCTTGAAGAAATTAACAGAAAATGAATTTTACCTGTGACAAGCAAGCATGAGTTAGTAAATTGTCCACTGATACTGTAGATATTTCATTGCAACTGCTGTTAAGTTGAGGTTCAGGTTGTGTGACAGAAAGCTAATAAAATAGAAAAATATTCAGTAATCAATGACAAATATACCATGAATAGGTTTTCGCTGAATTTTGATTGGTAAACCCTGAGTTGACCTCAGAGCTAGATGTACATGTGATTATTCTTCAAGAGTTTGATGTACGGGGCTTTGTTCTTTCTTGCACAAGTAAATTAGAAATAAATGCAACATTTCAATAAATTTGTGAATCAATCCCTTTGAACCATTTGATATACTCATTTCAATTCCTGCTAATATATCCTTGAAGCATACTAATCACTAACACAAGGCAGATATGAGGAAGAAGTAGAAAGTGACACACTACTTCAATTAACCTTAACTTTTAGTGAATGATTGACATCTTAAACTTGCAGTGCAAAATGTACTTTTGCAAATGCAGGCAATCATGTGATGTTAACTTGCACACATAAATATTTGTTCTTACTGCATCCCTATCTTGCACTGCAATATTGATTGATCCTGAATCAGTCAGCAGTCGTTTTGCGAGTGGTGAATTGTCAAATGATGATGACGATCTTCTTTTGAATGGTAGAGGTTTCACAAACCATCTGTTCGAATATATTATGTAGTTTTCACACATATAAATCATAGTGGATACCAAATAATTTACTATTCTCAATGAGAAATATAATGTATATCTAATTTTTTTGAGTATAAAGTTAAATTAAATAGTGCAAATCTCTATTCCGACCTACTAAATTCCAAATTTGAAAACATTGTTTCAGAAGTACCGTATATGCTCGTTTTACCGCCCGATCTTGATTAAGGTCCCGTTTGAATAGCCGCCCGTGTGAACAGAACATAAAAATAAATAAGGGCCGGTGCTTGAATACCCGCCCGATGTAAAAGCTGATTTTTCAGGGGTAGGGAACGATAGGAAATAAAAAGAGCTTTTGTCACAACGCTGTTGAATTTTGAACGCCGGTAGATAACGCTCACGCCTTAGGCGTCCAAGTACATAACAGATAGCATTGATTACGTAACACCATGGTTCTCAAACTGGTCGTCGCGTGCGTCGTTTCAATATTGATAGGGCGTCGCAAAACTTTTCTTCTTTTGCGAATTTGTACCTGCGGTGCGTAGAAAAAGTCAAAATTTTCGTTATTCTCATTTAAATCATACTTGAGAACTGGAAATAACAATTATTGTAACGATCGAAAGTAACAAGCGCCCGTGCTTGAATAAGGGTCGGTTTGAATAGCCGCCCGTGTGAACAGAACATAAAAATAAATAAGGGCCGGTGCTTGAATACCCGCCCGATGTAAAAGCTGATTTTTCAGGGGTAGGGAACGATAGGAAATAAAAAGAGCTTTTGTCACAACGCTGTTGAATTTTGAACGCCGGTAGATAACGCTCACGCCTTAGGCGTCCAAGTACATAACAGATAGCATTGATTACGTAACACCATGGTTCTCAAACTGGTCGTCGCGTGCGTCGTTTCAATATTGATAGGGCATCGCAAAACTTTTCTTCTTTTGCGAATTTGTACCTGCGGTGCGTAGAAAAAGTCAAAATTTTCGTTATTCTCATTTAAATCATACTTGAGAACTGGAAATAACAATTATTGTAACGATCGAAAGTAACAAGCGCCCGTGCTTGAATAAGGGTCGGTTTGAATAAGGGCCCGGTTGGTGAGTTGGTTGAAAAAAATATGGGCCCGGGCTATAAAACGAGCAAATACTGTATTCAAAATATGATATTATTTAGTTTCAGTCACCTATGTTTCTTAGTCATAAATCAACAAACAAACAGTTGGAATTATTATGGTGAAATGAATAATATGAATTGTACATAGGAGATTTGGTACTCCCATAGTGTGTGTACCAGTTTAGTTTAGGCCACAATTTTATTCCGATTTCCCTTATTTTAGTTCTATTACAAGTTCAGGGACTGTCTGTGTTAGCCAAGTGAATATATCCCCTGCCCATAGGCTTCAGTCCCTTTACACAACTTGACGTAAAGTAGGTAAACAAAATTAGTTGCCTCCATATTGCTAAACACACTTCTGGAGCTCCGGAGATTTTCTTTCAAATGACGACATTGAGAAGTTCAGTTTTAATGTAGCTTCCACGAACCATTGTAAAGCAAGGACAAGTGCTGAATCATCACTTTTACAGTCAGTAAATACAATATATAGTTGACTGATACTCAAATTAAGAAAAATTTTCGTGCTATTCTTGATAACTATGAAAGAAAATTTTTATCATACCTGTCCTTTTTCACAGTGGCAATAGTTGCACGTTTTTCAGGAGATTCAACCAATACTCTCCTCAATAGAGCCAGAGGAATTGTATCGATTTTATTCCAAGGTGATAATTGGACCTTTCTGTCTAACCAATCACAATATTCTTGGCATCCATCACTTGGTTCATCCCATGGCAGTTCACCTGAAGAAAACATTTCCCAATCCAAAATTTAGTTGTCAAGAATATGTAAAAAACAAACAGCAAAAATTATCCTACGATGTACTTGGATGCTTGTAATTTAGAATCACTCAGATTGTATATTTAAAGATTATCAATGCTATTCCTATACGCAACTGGATGAGACGCTGTAGTTTGCCTATGATTTAGCTGTCTCATCGGCTCTTTTCTGCCCAGTAATAAATAAGAAAATGCTATCCTAACCCGGAAGGTCTAACAAGGACATATCACATGAAATGTGCTGGGAAATGACAAGACGTATATAGGTGATCTGGTACTAATGTTAACTTCTATGGCAAATAAATGCACCATATACATTTGACATATCAACCTCACTTTATCTTTTATTTTATTCATTCATATAGATATTTCTCCTACATACCTGCTAACATGGCGACCAATACTATTGCACATGACCACACATCTGCAGGTTCGGCATGATAAGGTTCTTGTACTAATACTTCTGGTGCAACATAAGGCGGTGTTCCACAACATCTATTGATTAATCTTTCTCTACCTGTGAGTGAGTAGTCATAAACAATTTAATTTAGGGTATTTATTTAAATAATTTTGCTCTGACAAAATATGTATATGGCCCATGCATGATTAAAATATTATATATTATTTATAGTCAAGTCAAAATAATGGCAACCCCAATCCCATGGTACATCACAATTACTTTCTGTTGTAAATTCATTAGCAGCACAGAGCTTAATTGTTGGTACAACAGGGAAGATTGGGGAGCCAAGCTCGAAAAATGGAACAAATGAGCCATTGCTATTTCAAAACAGCTCTAGCAACATGTGCAGAGGGTATCTAAGTTACCACCAAGGCTTAGAGAAGTCGATGAAAATTTACTATTGACGCAGACCACCCCAGATTCCAAGCTATTTGAACTCTCATTCCGTTCTTGTTTGACCAAAACACTACCAATTCCACAATGCTGTCTATAGCTAATGCAATATATTTCAAATTACCTTTGTGTCTGAATATTGTTGCTAAACCAAAATCAACAATCTTAAGAATGTTATTTCCATCGAGAAGTAAATTTTCTGGTTTGATATCACGGTGTGTCACTCCAAGAGAATGCAGGTATTCAACACCTGGAATATTAACATAAATACTAATTATGTTAATAACTAATTGAAAAGATAATTTTTCAAAGAAATGATTCTATACCTGAAATTAATTGCCTAAAATATGATTGCGCGTGTGAAGGAGGCATTCCAATATCTGGTTCAATTTTATCAAATAATTCTCCACCACTTGCATATGCCAAAAATATATATTGATGTGTTGTCTCTTTTCTTGTACCGTAACATTTCACAATGTGTTTATGATCCAACATTTTATGTATTCCAACTTCTTTACGAATCTGGTGAATTCATGATACAAAATTTTACAGTATGCTAAATAACATACCGTAATTACTGATGGTTAACACATTGTGCTACAAGGTCGAAATTTGCTTGTTATTCCAATTGTATTCACTCTTTTAGATTAATAGCATAATCCAATCCTATGTGGAGCGATTAGGAGTGCAAGAAATGCCATGATGAAAGAAATACTATGATGATGAGCCAATCGGACTATGGCAACAGCACGAACCCTCTTGGGTCAACTGAATATTTATTTAAACACCATTTCGGCCCAACTTGAGAGAGGGTATTGACTGTACAGGCAGAAAATGACATGAGAATTTCTTACTATCGAAATCTTACCAGATCCATTGCTGCTGCATCTTGTGCTTTCTTTAGGTCAATTATCTTGACAGCAACTGCTTCATCATTTCCTGAGTTAATAGCGAGTTTAACCTCACCATACGCACCTTCTCCGAGTGTTTGAACAAAATCCCACCCATCTACAAATGGCACTGCTGCAGCAGTCATCTTATTTTTTTAAACACAATAATAGCTTGAAAAATCCCATGGATTAGATAGTGAAATTACTGCAAAAAATGAAAGAACAAAAAGAAGAATTCGAATAACGAAAATTAACAAATTAGTCACGAGTATTATTATTAGGTCTTAATAACGACAAAATAAATTTATGATACTAGGAAAAATGTTTCAATTACTCTGCAGCACTGTTATGCATGCACTGTGAAGCATGAATATACGTAGATAAATATGCAAGTGTATGTAAGTTATAGCAATAGTACAGTAGAACTGATAAACTGTAGAAATTTGCTCTCAATTACTGAAAACAGTATAGGATCATTTTTGTACTGTTAATTCAGCTCAACATTTTATTAAGTATTTCGAACTTGGGACTTTTGGAATGAACCATTTTCATGGGGATTTCTTTTTACTGGTGCCAGGTTTTTTCTTTTCGCTGTTTGCTTTTTTCGGTTTCACATATTTAGCAGCTATTTGGTCTAGAAATGCTTCTTGTTTCTTCATCCGATCCTCATTTCTTTGGGCAATGATACTTGCTATGTCAGATATGGAATCTCCCATTTCTTTTTCAAAAACTTTCGCATTTTTTTCTGCATGCTTTGCTTCTTTCTCGCATTTACGTTTTCGTGCTAAACGTTTTGCTTTGGTTTCTTTAGAGAATTTATCATAGTTTGGCAATTCCTTAGCTTTGATCCATTCTTCAATCAGTTCTCTATATTGTTGTTCATGATCTAAAGCTCTACAATACATATTTTGTATTATTTTATTCATATCACCTTTATATTCCTCATAAGCTTTTTTTAAGTCATCTTTTTCCTTTTCCGAGCCCCAGTATTCATCAGTAAACTCTTTAATGGCATCGTTTAAATTTCCAAATCTTGACGACCAAAATTGTTTCCAATTAAAAATGTCGCTGTCAATTTCATTATCTACACATCCACTTTCATCATAAACTCTCCGACGTTCTTCATCAGAAAGTACGCTATAGACTTTTCCTAAAATTTGGAATTTTTCAGTAGCAAGTGCTTTCTCTTCTTCAGTTACCCTATCAGGATGAACCTTCAAAGACATTTTACGATAAGCCGCTTTGATTTGTTTTTCTGATGCATCCTTTGATACATTCAACACATTATACAAGTCTTTTGACCCAAACTGTTCCTCGCATTGCTCCAAAAAAGACATTTTATGTTTTCTATTCTACCAAAGAACAAAATAATCAATTAGTTACAAAAATAGGCAATGGAGAAATTATAACCCCCCAAGTCTCTAGAGAGGTGAACCAACTTAAAGATATGTCTTTCAGATAAAAGTCGGTCAATTTATCAATCAATTTAATATGATTGTTTTGGGAACATAAATTGGTGCTACTATAGCATGAAGTCTACTGCCAAGTGTCATATGTCACCTAATCTATATCTGAGGTCTACCTACCATGTTAAGATTAGAATCAGATCCATGTAATACATCACTAAATTAGTCATAGAAAGTGTTCCGAATAATTGTTACATATTTGGAATGAAAAATGCAGCGGTAAACCTCAAGCTATAATAGTATCCATGCTACTTCTAACAAGGCTCTTAATGAGCAGAACAAAACAGTCACATGAAAGCAAAACATTTCTTGATAATCAAGGAGTAGAAAATTCAATACTTCGCAGAAGATGATGTGTATGACAAGGTCATAATAAAAACAAGTTGAGACAATGCATTTACTAAACATTACGCCAAAATAATTTAGATATAAACAATATGAAAAAAAGATTATAACACAATTTCAACACAAAACATTTTAAATATGAAACATTTGAATATACAACACTACCACAGTGGACAGAAACCTTTACAGCTAAATTTATTTCAAATAGCAAACATTTTCATATGCAGCACTGCTATAGTGGACAAAAACCTTTTTCAGTTAACTGTAAGTTAATACTAGCACCTATTTTTGCATGGTGAGATTTGAACACAGTAACTTTAATAGGTATAATTCCATGTTCTATTGAATTATCATTTACATTTTTCAAAACATTTGATTTGGATAAATATATTCGCGTCGCTACAGCAGAATTCCACGAATGACCAAATCCAGCATTTGGAGAAGAGTCAGAATCAATATTAAAATATGTGTTTGTAGTAACTACAACAGCTAGAGTAAAATCTTTCGCTATGGCATTAATTTCTTTTTTTACTGATGTTGCCAGAGATTGTCCTTCAACATATGATAAATTTTTTAAATCAGAGAGTAAAACAGCTGATAAGGAATCAATGATAATTGCTTTCAAGCTTAAGGTGAAGCCAGTATCATGTGAGTTTAAATTTCCACGAATCATTGATAATATGTCAAGGAGATGATAAGTTGATGTGCATTTACATACTCTAATATGTGATAACGTCTCACCAAAATTTGTTTTAATCATTTGAGCAGCCCTTTCTGGGGAAAAACCAGAGCTGCAGTCAATATATATCACATTTTGCCTTAACGAGGCAGCTATATTGATTGCAAGCCCCGTGCATAATTGTGTTTTTCCAGCCGCAGATGAACCGCAGATTTCTGTCACTTCTCCAGTAAATATACCAGACGATAAAAGATCATCCAACTCTGTACAATTTGTTGAAAGAATTGAAAGGGTAGCAATTGATTCTTCATATAGATTCAAACCATTCAAGGGAAATGATGAATATTCAGCAAGCAATACACGTCGTATCGATAAAACAGTTTTATATTGAACCTCACACTGAGATGTAATTTTACTTGGTTCCGTACAAATAAAATCCAATACTCTTTTTACTCCATTAGAAGCTAGTTTTGCAACTATACTTTCAGTCAGTAACGGACACATTCCAGCCTGAAGAAGAGGCATTGTTTGCTTAATATAGACCTAATTGTATCTGTAAAAAATGGTGATTAAATTTTTTTGATTAGTGTGGTATGTAAGTTACACTCACATGCCATGCATACCAATTGAATTTTCTATACATACTTTAGAGGAGAAAAGCCAGAATCTGAGAATGTAAGTCGGCAAATGAAGCATTACAACAGTATTGCCTTATCAATCACTATGTCAATATGTGTTGATGTGATTCTTAGATTACACCAATATTTCGTATGAAATGAGGCTGAAGCATGGTGCATCATATATTAATTTGATTTTGAAAACAAAGAATGTTTGAATGTCCAGGTTAATAGAGTTTATCTTCATGTATCCGCCTTTATCACTGTATTGTTTGTATTTCCATTGCTGTGTGCAGGTGTGTCACAATTCAGCAATTCCAGAATTCTATCAAGCTTAAGTCAAGCTTTTTTTTCTTGGGTAAATCAGATTATTTTTTCCCGAAGAATTCAATGATGACGTTATTAGATTACGCTTCTTTGTAGTATTTTGCGCAATATCATTATACTGTATTTTTACCGATATTGAGGGACAACAATGTCCAGACGTCTCCCAAAGGAGGGGTGTCTGATCATTGGTAAAATGGATTTTCCTGAATCGAGACAATGTCAACCGATCTGTATAGTGTGCCGTACTGCTCTATGCTACAAGAGTAAACAAGAGGTCGTGGTCCACCTTACCAACTTTCCTCTCCCCAAGGATAAATACAGAACTATGTAAATCCTATCCTGTCTACTTCCAGACTATTGTTAGCCGTCAGTCATCGGCATGAACCAGTTGAATAGCAAACTACGTTACCGGTCTGCCGGTACTACCAGATGACTATTATTGAGTATTGACAGATTGAGCTAATCGCAACCCGACTAACAAACTTTTCGGCCAAGGAAACAAAAACATTTTATCAAATCAGTTAGTTGTGTTGAAGAAACTGCAGAATTGAAGACTGAAAGAGTGAAAAATGAATGACAATGAATAAATAATTTTTTTTTTCTAATTCGGATTTGTGAATATGATAGTTTTGATTTATCCAAATGTAGCCTATTATTTCAATTTTTGCCAATTATTGTTCGAATTTGATCCAGATTAGTACCCATTTTCCAAGAAAAAAAAAACATTTGCATAGAAAATTCAGAAAAACAAAAGATTATAGGCTACAACAACAACAGAAAACCATATTACTCATATTTACATCATTTGTTCAATTTTGATATTCCATGTCATATAGTCCATTTAGAATTAATTCCCATGTTGTGATTGGCCGTTCAACCAATATATTTATTTTAGTAATTATTAGATTAGGCATACAAGCATACTACTCATTTATGCACCCAAATGCCTCCGCCCCATGCATAAATTTACACGTGCTATTATTTGTTCTGCTATTATTTGTTCCTGTTGAGACCGCCGTCGGGTAAAATATCAACGATGGAATACTGGAGTAGGAAATATTTGGACGAAAACTTGGAAATTAGACGAATATAAACCCTACTGAGAAGATACATACAAACTTAAATCAAAACGATGTTGTCGGATACAGTACTGATACGATATGGATCAGTTCGCATCAGATCATGCTGGGCCAGCATTGCTGGCCTGCGTGGAGTTTATCATGGAAAACTGGTCGAAGCTGGGAAAAACATGAACAGTCAATTGTAACGAATATTTGAAGGTAGATTGCATAAAAAAGACTACTTACACTACTGCACTAAGCAAATTTTGATTAAAACTGAAGTTGTAACGCCAGGGCAATGCACTTGTCATATTTTACTTCGTTTGTTGTTGTTTTCTTTCATGGTGCTTTTATCCTTGTTGTTTAGTTGAGTGCGTTTGTAATCAAATTATTTACCACATATTGCGCACTGCTTGTTTGTTTATGTTCTACAATTCTCGTTATTTATATGTACAGATATAGCCTATTAGAAATTACACTCCATGTTAAAACTCCACATCCACACCCAAGTATTTACGCCCGAATTATCTTTCGTGTTCCTTTTTTTTCAATTTACTTCAATGTGTTGTTTGCCACATCCACACCCAAGTATTTACGCCCGAATTATCTTCCGCGTTCCTTTTTTTTTTTTTTGGTTATCCAAATACGTGATTTCAATTTATTTGCATGAAGTCACCAAGATTTTATTTTTCCACATTTTGGCCGAATTTTAATTATTCATATATTTCACCCCAATCCAATGTATCCACCAGTCAAATAATCCATTACATTCCATTCGTTCAGCACATTTAAGTAAGTACATAATTAATTTTATAATACGGTATGCATGGAAATAGAAAAACATTTACACTACTGCACTAATTAGATAGGTTATCGATCATGTTTGATCAGTTGAAGGGGGTGATATTCAACCCACCCAACATGAAAGTTTAAATGGATGAAACTTTTCAATTTTAAAACAAGAATATCGGTCGGAGACCGAAGACTTATCGATCGACCGAAAAAAATAATTAATAACTCGCTAATTATACGACATAATCAACCCAAAATCAATAGTTTCTGGTCCGAGATATGATGCATGCACATGCAAAATTTGGAGCAGATTCAACTTAAGAAAATCTTAAGATCGATAAGTAATAAATGTTAGTACTATTAAATACAGTTATAAATAGTTGAGGTAATTTAGTCAAGTTGAAACAGATTTCTCAAGCAATGTTCTAACAATACTTTGCATGTATCTCTCTTTTTTGTATGATTGAAAACAATTAATTTGACCTTGGATCATGCTTTTATACTGTATTCTCAAATTAATTTGATTTTTTTCCAAACTATCATACTTTACACTATTACGATGTAGCCAGATGCAATATTTACCGATTCCAATTAAAAATAAACAGTATTCGTTGTCAATATTGTCTAAAAGAAGTACAGATTTTGTGTCAGTTCGGTCAAGTTGGCACCAATTCCAAAAACATTTTGTAAAGGGACATTCACATAATAAATGATATACTGTTTCGCACATATTTCCATCACACAAAACACAACCCCCACCCTCATCACTGAACCACTGATTTAAAAAATTACCTACTGGTAATGCTAAATTTGCCTCTTTCCAACAAAAGTCTTGGGTTTTTCTTGGTAAATCGTAATATCTAATTTTATTCCAGGATACTTTTGAGTATTCAATTCCAAAATTATTAATAAATCTTTGATTAAGGACTACCTTTTTTGATTCCACATCAGGAGATATTAATCTTAAATACAAAAATTTTACCTTTTTTTTCAATTTGCTTCAATGTGTTGTTTGCTGTTTGGGGTAAGTGGGCACGTGCACCAGCACGTCTTAAATCTTTTTTAGATTTTGCCCACTTTCCTGATTTTCCGTACATTTGTTTGTTTTGCCATGTATTGTTTTGTTATATTGGGAAATCGAAATAAACACTTACTTACTTACTGATTTAATTATTCTAATTCACACATAACTGCATGGGAAAAATAAAAGCCCGCGCAAATATTTTGGGGATTCCCCTTTCGAGTGTTTATTCTTTTGCTCAAGTTTAAAGTGCTGTATGTAGGCCTATATATGAAAAACTATTTTAATGATCGGCTTTTTCATGTTAAATTTGCTTTTCCAAAAATATCTGAAAATCATTTATTATATAAAGTAGATGACATGGAGATTGATGTCAAAACTGTGCTACATTTATTTTATTTCTGTGAATTTGTACAACAATTTTTTAGAAGTTGGTATAGCATAGATATCGTAATTGTTTAATAAGAGAGAGAGAAAAAGATTTTTTTTTTCATAAATATACATATATATATTCATACATAAATTTTTCTCCAATAAATATTCTAAAGTGGAATTCGAACAGATTCGGTACTAAGATTTTTTTTTTTTATATTCAGCACAAGGTGGCGATAGGGAACAAAAATCCTTTTCGGCTGAAATAAAATGCAGAAAAGGCGGGATATTTCAGTCTACTGCGGTTGTTGTTGGGGTTGAATCAAAAAGACATTTAGCCGTTCTGGGAGGTGTTTGAATGAATGAATTGATCGTGTTAATTTTAATTTTAAAATTAATTTTAAAATGTTTTGTTTACATGCCTGTATGCCTAATCCATAAACTAAAATAAATCTAATCTTTAATTGGTATTCTACAAATCACAACATGGAAAATGACTTGCGATGGACAACATAACTTGGAATATCGAAATCGAAATGGAATGTTAAAATTGGACTAGCGATGTAAAAATGGGTATTGGATAATATGTTTGTGTTTGTATTTATTTATTTTTTTTTCATTGTGGATGTATAATTTTTTTGCCTTCATAGGATAGGATAGGATTTACATATTTATCCCGGGGAGAGGAAAGCCGATAAGACGGCTTATCCATATGGCGAACCACGGCCTCTCGTCCGGTTACCATTCCAAGTCGGGTATGGGATTAGTTATATTGTTTGTTTTCGAAAGCATGGACTTGGTGGTGGAGGAAGCCGTAACCGACCAGCGGTTACGTGAACCACCCAACGACGGCGAGGAGTCCAGCAATCCTCTCGCACATAACCATCCCTGCATGGGATTCGAACCTGCGAACTCATGCAGAGTAATCAGAGGTGCGTTGGCGAGCGTATTCTTAACGCTTAGCCCGTTGAGCCACACCGCCGCACTGATTCATTCATGATTTTTCTATGCAAATGTTTATTTCTGGGAATGGGATCAAATCAAATTTGGATGGGATTCACATTTGTCCAGCCTTGAACGCAATGATATAATATTGCTATTTTGCACTGCTAGACACAAAATATGGTTAGAAAGGAATGCCGTAATTTTTCAGATGCTAACCCAAATCTGCAAATGCAGAATTGTAAACAATGTAATCATTAAAATTAAGAAGTCACTCATGGCAAGAAGAAATATAGAAAAGTTTAGGCAACATCCTAGTCCCACAAGAGAACTTGATATGAGTTATAATAACTTATGAATTTTTACCTCAGTGAAAGTACTGAAACTAATACATATTTAATTTTTTTCTTGATAATAAATGTTAATTAAAAAATAATGCACTGCCAATTACTGTGGGAACTACATGGATACTTAATTTGGATATAATGGACAATACAATCAATCAATTGCTGGCTGCTGTTAATGTATCTTTTCTGTTAATAATTTTGGATGGTTGTTATTTTTATACATTCTTTGATTATTGAATAATCCACAACGTGAGAAAAAACAAAACATTTTTTCAAAATAGGGTGTTATTATTTTTTGATGTCATTTCAAATATTGAAAATTGCATTTTGCTACCGGTATGACAGAATTTTTTTTGACTTTCTTTCTCCAGTTCTCAATGTCTCATGAGTTTCAGAGATGAATTTTGGCGTTTGCTTATAATGTTTACGTAGTCTATACCGATACCAGATTTTCAAATGACAGAATGAAGCCTACTACAGTGTTCCCCGAAAATAAAACCTAGCCTGAATTTTAAAATTATTTTAATATAAGCCCACCTCTTTTAAATAAGGCCTAACTTATTCAATAACGCGAACACGTTTGAATTGATGATGATCTATGTTCTGCTGTAATTTTGAATAAAAACGTGTTATTTATAAGTAAATAGATATCTTTTTTTCATATTTGAAAATCTCGTAATTCTCTACTTTGTAATTTTGTTTTTGGTAAATGAAAATAAAAGGAATCCCCCGAAAATAAGCCCTAGAGTTATTTTGCAGAAGAAAATTGAAATGTGACCCTGTTTTAATTTCGGGGAAACACAGTATGTCGTCTGTTTTGTGTTTTACATATGGCAATGTCTGAATGTTCTGATGTAATTTTAGAGATTATTTTGTATAAAAACAGATAATCATTTTGTGAATGATGAAATACTTTTTGTTAATACTGTAATATGATATTCACATGATTATGAAATACTGAAATAACCTATAACGCCCACAATTTTCTGTGACTTCTGTCATTTACTCGTAGATAATCATTTTGTGAATAATGAAATACTTTTTGTTAATATGATATTCACATGATTATGAAATAACTTTAATACTCGGCTTAGTCTACCGCTACTGCCTGACTGATGTACTGCAGTAGTCCGACTAGCCTGTATCTCTATACAGGGCAACGCTGTTTTATAATTTGAACTCCATAATTTTAAAATATTTCCGAATTTTTTATGCTCGAAACATGTAAGTATTGTTTCTCAAGTACATCAAGTATAAGTTTAGTTTGACCGCATGATCATCATAACAGACGATAAAGTAATTGATAAAAACAACCAAACACATGCACGTTTTATCGTTTATAATGCTGATTATGGGATCACAATAAGCTTATACTTGTACATAGCAAACAAAAAATAAATGAATAAATAAAAATTACTTGCCACACCATATTATTATTAATTTTCTGATGGTTGCCAAATTGAGTATTGATTTTGTAAACAAGAGTGAACAGTAAAGAAAAATAATGAATAAAAAGATATCGCCAAGCTGATTATGATTACAACAAATCAATCAGTAAAAACAATAGTTCCTAAAATAAGTTTGTGTCTCTCCCAGTAATTCTTGTGCTAGTTCAGTAGTTATGCAATGACAAGCGATGCAATGCTACTAAGGCTTACTAGGAAGTTGCTTTGATCGTTGAGCAGGTAATTATCTGTAGGTCGTGTTTGCTATCAACCCGAATTTCAAAACTTGAGCTTCTCAAGTATTATTTTACCATGGTTATTAATAGTCAATTCATTTACTATTGGTAAACTTCTTGTTCAGAATGCTATATCAGTTTAGCTGTTTTTTTTATCGAAAATGGAAAGTGAACATGTGTTCATGATACCTTTTCGCACTGTCAGAATTGGAACATTGAAAACATTTCCTCCAAGAGATCGTCGAAATATTCCACTTCAGTTTTCAAAAGAAACAATATCTTTCAGTGCTGTATTGGAACAAAAAGGATATAATAAGAATGCAATACAGTTCAATATCCCTTCAAGAGGAATTGTACTCATTGAAGCACATCTCAAAGTTGGATGTCCCGTTATTTGGATTACTTTTGATTCTGATACTGCAGAAAGGATAAGAAGAATTACAAATATGCATTTAGAAACAGAGCCGGCATCGTATCTCGATCCGGACTCAAATGAACTTGCCGAAAAAAGATTATGTATTATTCCTATTCATGATCCTGTCGAAGAATCCCAAGTTGAAATTTTTTATAAAGTTGTGCGAAGCATTGCTGATGAAAGAAATCTGGATTTTACTAAAATTTTCCATGAATTATTGAGATCGGATTGTAATAGACAATTAATTCGTTGTACCCAATACATAACACAACTCACTAAGTTTCAAAACTCTTTCCGAACGAAGAAGGATATTGAAACAGAAACGAAAAGTGCTGTTATTGTCACAAAAACCGTTTCAGAAAATAAAAATGAAGATGAACATGATTTTATCATTATTGCATCAGATGAAGAAGAAGATTCAAATATGGATTCACTGTCGACAAAATTAGAAAAAAAGAACAAAAAAATAGGATCCAAGGATGTAAATAATACAAAACATCGTCGCCAAGCTGACTATCCCTCCGGGATATCCTCCCATAGATCGCATTCATATAAATTCCAAAAAAAGGAGTATGTTGCACCCAAACGTAAATCATCTCCTGATTTAGTTGATTTTGATAAAAATTATATTCCAGAATCCAACAGATTTAAACATCAAAAATTTGAAACTTGACTATTTTTTACCTTGGAAATTGAAATATATTGAAAATATATTATAAAATATTGATATATAGGTAAGTGGAAAAATGCGTACGAACAAGTTTTTTTAAGACAAAAACATTTTAACTTTATCTGCACTGATTTCATATATGTTACAAGCTATAAATCCAATAGATTTCTTACTCTTTATTTATAGGTCTTCAGACTCTCCCTACTTATCTGAACTGATGTGCTTTCAAAATCAAATGATTGTCTTTTTATATAGATTTTTCTTGTGAGAATCCTCATTCAGTGGCTGACTGATCTTTGATATTTCATATTTAATAATGAAAGCTTGTTTTGTTTTTGAATTTTATTCCTTTGTATTACCTGGCCACATTATGCTCGAATCTTATTTGCCGAATTCAGACTTCATATGATTTACCATGATCACGATATCACAATTCATATTTCCAGTACTTTTTCTTTTTGTATATTTATTTTAATCATTGAAAGCAATATCATGATGTATTGTGCAAGTTTTTCCTATAAACACTCATTATTCCTATCTACCAGTGGTTATTATTTGCCTTTTTATTCTATACAGCCATGCTTATCATGTTTTTTTTCTCGTGTCTGTGCCTGTTACTTTGCCTATATGAAACTACTCATCATAATAGTATTATATCGTAGCATTTTTTTGTTAAATTTCATTTTTTTTTACAATCTTATTTGTTTTATTCTCTAGGTTTATATTTATAATAATAGGAAATGAAAAATTTTGTTATACCGTTTCATCTTCAAGACTTACAAAATTCAACGCCGTCTGCGACACAATATGTTGTTGAAGAAGTTTTCTCCAGTCGTATGCTGCCGATAAAACTACAAAGTGAATATCATTTTTTATATTTTGTGAAAAGGGTTTGATCGAATTGAAAACAAAAGATTAATAAGAAAAGAAAGTTTAGTTTGACCAAAATTGAACTAAATATATTATTATGAGGAGATATTTCCCAGTCAGGAAATTGAATATATTTTTAATTGTGTCATATGAAAACAACTAGGATATATGACCATTAAAGTATGAATATCAAATATGCCTGTTTTTCTTTTATCCTGTAAATATCATATTTAAGTGATTGAAATTAACCAACTTGTAGACAAGTTGGCGAGTTTATGGCTCAAAATGACAAGTTTCCAAGTAACAATATTCCAAATAATTCATGAATTAAATTATGCAATTTATTGCTTTATTAATTAAATTCGGTTAAAAGTTTTGTAGTAATGGTGTAATGGTTTTTTATTCTGATCAATATTGATTACCAATAATCCAAAACCACCCTTGAAGAAACTAATTATTCTTATTTTTAGATGCAAAAATTGCTTTTGCAAGAGATGGAGGACTTGCAGTACTGGAAAACTTTGACGTGATCTACAGCGTTGTTTCAAAATTTAATGAAATAGACCCAGTTGTGAGACAACAGACATGGGAAATGTTACTCAAAAGTAATAAATACTTGTAATCTTTTTAACAGTATTGTAGGATTTTGGTTTTTAGTATTTTTGTATCTTATCGAATGTTGAGGAATTTATACTACTCTAAATGTTGTTTTTTTTCATTTCATTTAAAAAAATTTTTTTTTATTTACTTAGCAATAGTAGAGGTTTGCCCAAGTATCGAATTGTTTATTTCTGTAACATTGACTTATCAGCAAAATGTTAAAGGTGATATAGCAGTTAAACTTTAGTAGTCACTCACTCTCAGACACTTTTTTCATGAAGACAGATTTTGTAGTCGTTATTAACTTATCAGCCCCTTTTGTGATTTTGTTGCTACCTATTTTTTCAGAGTTTGTAGTTGTGTTTCCGAAGTTATGAATTCATTGTAAAACTGATATTTGGACAATATGCTCAAGTTACAAGTACATGTATGAAGTAGGGTAGGAGTTGGTTACCTACGGCACACGGGCCGGATCTGGCCTCCGACGGCCACTAAATTATATTAACAAAACGGCTGTTTTAAACATTATATTCTTTACGTAACATAAATTATTGTGAGATATGTGTAGACTGAATTATATTATAACTTAACAGGTATATAATTTACAATTACTCGATTAATGAGCCTATAATTCAATTATAGTAGTAGACAAGTCGCAACGAATCACAGAAAAGTTGATGCTAGGTGCAATGGGTTTAATTGTGCAGAAAATATTCAAATGAAATTTTTCGAGATGCAATGCAATGAGAAAATAAAAATTATGTTCTATTCGAGATATGTATCACTGCTCAATTTTTATAAAAAGTATCTTCTTGAAGAAAAACTGTATCCAAATAGGACAAACCATGTGAAAAAATTCACATCGATGTTTGGAAGTAGCCTACATATGCATGCGAACAATTGTTTTCGAAAATGAACATTACAAAGAACAAGCGGAAAACTCAGATGAGCGATTCCCATTTTCAAAATGTTTTATCTTGGCTGGATATCCATCCAGTGACTATATCCAGTGCAACTCCTATATTTGGTCCACAAGCGACAAAAGGTTGCCGATTCCTGCAGTAGGGTAAAGGGGTGTCCAGAGAATAAAATTCAAATTAAATGCTATTTCATAAAGCTGGTTTATATTAAGAATTCTGATGCTATTACTATTAATTAGTGTTTTTTCTCTATGAAATCATAATTTCTAATAAATTTTCTCATTTAGCTTGCAAGTCTTACAGCAACTTCTTGGGGAATATTCTCTCTAGTGGATCCTCAGGAGATAATCTTGCATCACCAACTCTTGACCTTGACGCTCGATTAAATCACAAGAATGCATTGAAAATGTTGATTTATCTGATGGTACAAATGACAGAATTATTTCAAGCTAAATATAATCAATCAACAGAGGCCTCAGCTTCTGTAAATGCTGGCAAAAAGCGTGGAAAAGGATCTAAAAATAAGACAAGTACCAGTCAAGGTATGTAAAATTTTGCTATAGTATCTTGTAACAGACATTGCCAAACCGCTTTTAGCGGCTCCAAGTCCAATCATTCGATTATTTTATCACATCATTCACATTCATAGTTTTCTTTCCACAGTCTTTACCCAGACCATAGTAAATCCTACTGTTGAAACTAAATATTATGCCAATTTGCTTTTCAAATGGAATAAAATAGCTATTGGCCAAGGATAAATGGTATTGAATCCATTTCTTATTTGCCATTAATTATCTTCGATTATTTTTATCTTTGGCTAGGATGAATTTAGTTAGGTTGTTTATCTTATGTTGTTCAGTACTTTCGTTATTCCATCTTAATAATTGTGGGACAATGGCTCAGCAGTTAAAAGCGTTATACATAACTGTGTTGGCATCATCAATTGCACATCTGATGTTCAAATCTCATTCTTTCCACCTCATCCAGGATCCGATAAATTGGTATACCAGGCCAAATCAGAAAAACTCCAGTCCTTCCAAATAAAAACTCCTTTGTCCATACATATCGTGATTCGTGAGATATCATTGACTGCTTATATAGGGCCTTGTTCAGAGTGGAAGACTTGAAAAGCATCTTATAAAAACTAATAAATGAACAAGATCAAAGAAAAACGATCAGAAAATTAGTGGTAATGCGTAGTAGCAATATCAGGATTGCACCAAAGTGTCATAAAAACTAAATCTATTACTCTGTGCTTTCCAGAGATTCAGTGGACAAATGAATGTGAAAAATTGGTCCGACTTCTGATGACGTTTGTTGATCTTGATATTCATAGATTATGGGATCCTGAACTTGTTGAAGATGATTTTATAAAGTATGGTTTATGATTTTTATTCTTTACTTAATCTAAGTCAAGTCAATGTGGAAAAGAAAATTGGCTTTTATCCAGCTGCTTTGATAAGCAATCATTGGTTATTGAGATTCAGCACTGATGCCTATATGGTTTTAGAACCAGTAATCAAGAGATACTTATTATTGTGGCCTCAGTTTAAAGTCTGATTTATGAAGTTCATTTTTCAATGTTCTAAGTGGTGTAGCCATAAAAGTAAATTTTTTTAGGATTTTTTGCATAATAGCTTATGTGACCAGACCATACATCAAGGGGACTGACAATCGGAATTGTTCCAATATAGGCCTTAAATTAATTTTTGGCAGTATGTACCTCTACAACGAGTGGATATGTTCTTATGTATATGTACCAAGCATTAAGTGAGGATGAATGACAAATTAAATTCATATCCCCTTCTGTACATTTTAAATTGCATTTTGACATTGCCACTAGAATTGTAACTGCTATGAAAAATAGGTTAACTACCGGTATGTCTTTTCCCTTTTGTGCTGTTGTTTAAATCTGACTCAAATGTGTAGTGTAATCAATTATATGGCTGATCCTTAATTGCCTTTTACAATGCTTTTCTTAGTGAAGACTTATTGAATATTTCTTTCATATTTTGTTTATTCATGTACTGTGTTTCACTCTTATGTCAACTGCTTAAATTTTAGAACAAATTAGCTTGTTTTTGAATTATTTACAACGTCTTTTTTTTCTAGTTTGATCTGTAATATTTGCTATAAAATACTGGAAAGCCAAGAGTTGTTTAAAACTGGAGATGTAAAAGTTCCCATATTCCATGTCCTTGGATGCCTCATCAAAAAGTGAGTATATTTGAATATGATTGAGTTATTTTTGTACTCTAATCTCAAATTGTCATATAAAATGAAAACCACATTAATAATGGGAATCAAAAGTTTTTTAGTACTTGTAATTACTAATTCTTTCAAGAAATGGATAATCTCTGCAACAAAATTTATATCCAATATTCACAAGTAAAATTTAAAGTGGAAGTGTTTCTGATTTGGGTAATAGAATTGCAAAGCCAAAATATGCACTGCACTAATAATCCCCATTTGATTGTCCTTTGTTACATTGTGCCAAGCTGTAAGCTTCATCTACGATTTAAGTCCATGGACTTGTAATAATTTCCTGCTAACTGTTCCCACATCTTCCCTTTATTAAAGGCAACTAGATAAAAAGACATCGCCTGTCATATTAGTCGACTTTCCTCATACCATAGAACAGTATAAAAAAGTCCTGTTATTTTCAAAATGGAATAACAAATAAAGAAAGCAGAAGTAGTTTTTGTCATTTGCTTCTAACAAGGCTCAAACTGAGTTGTTACCGAAATAAATTGAACTTCATGGTTTGAAAATACTGTTATGCTCCAGATTCAGTGTTGTCCACCTAAATCATTGGGTCTTGTTTTGCACCGGGCAAACTATATCTCAAACTTGACATATCTTATCTATTAGAACAAACTTATGTTTCACTAGAACAAGCCTTTGAAACACGCTACACCTTCAATTTTATTTTAAATCCCTTTTTCATAGATTTGATCAATCAATGAGTGCAAGTTTAAAGTTGGTTCAACTTCTACAACATTTTCCACATCTATCGTCACCTCTAGCTGAAGCAGTTTCTTTATGGCAAAATACTTTCAAATGCAAGACTATTGTCTCAGGAGTTCTAAGGTAAGTAAATTCAGAAATGGTAACTGTAAATATATTAATAGACATTAGTCAGACAAAACGTTCCAGAAATATATTTGTGTTAGTGCGCAGCATGAAATCACTTAGAATTATTATATTTCTTTGCAATTCTACTGCAATACAGAAAGTTTTTCATGAAAATAAGTGTATATACACTTCTCATGAAATATTTCCATGCACTTTTCCTCTAAACATGTTCTTTGACATTTCGTTACCCAAATCACTTACACAATAAAATTAATTACAATTATTTTGGGGAGTGGTAATCATTAGTTTTCTTACCATTATAAGCTCACATTTTTATATTAAATCATTTTATTTTTTGTTTTCAGAGAGATCAGTCATATACCAGACCAAGAATTTCTTCGAGATACAGACAGTACGAGAAACATCGGCACATTCCTCGTAGACTTAACTAAAGGCAGTCCTTCCGCTGTACTTGCCAATTTCAGTCTGATGCTTGATCGCATGAATGAAGAGGTGAGAATCGACGTATGGAAAATTCTGCACATGGGTGTTGACCAAAAAAAATTCGTCCAAAAAATCTTTTTAAATGGAATTTAGAGTTACAGTTTCATTTTATTCATGAGGAATATTCCATCGAGGAAATTTCCCATTCTCCAGAAAAGTCCATTTATCGCGAAAAAATTGGCTCTAAAATCAGGCACTTTGTAGGTTTTGGTTGATTATTGGAGTACTATTTTTTTTAAATCAATTGTCTACATAGACAAGTTTTTTATTTTGTTTTCAGTCATATGCCATGAGAAACACAGTACTGAGTATGATGGGGGAAATAGTTTTGAGAAATTTAACTGGAGAAGAATTGGATGAGAAAGCCAAGTCCGTCAGGTACTGCTGTCCTTTGTTTTATCTCAAAGCTTCTTCAAAAAAAGGGTCAATAATTTGAAAAAAATAATTTCAAAGAGCTTTTTATTGTGACATTCGTAGGATGTAGTATGCACTTTGTTGGTAATTTCAAATTCAGAGTCAATAATAATGGGGTGTCTTAAAATGTTGTGTCCTCTTGTATAAATCTCACTTCATATGCTCACTTTAATCCTTTGCCAAGCAATATCTACCTTCAATCAGAATAGTTGGACAAGTGTGCTGAAATTTGACAAATTTAAACATAGCATTTTAAGACAATGAATGGTTCTAAACACTTTTTGAATTTTTAATTGTAATTCCGACTATGTCTAGTTATGTCATGTTTTTTTATAAATATGATTTGTGCCAAATTTACAAACTCTGCAAGTGGAACAAACAGCAAGTTTGAATTTTCGATTAAATTGATCGTTGACCTTAATTTTATTTGCTTTACATAAATTGAATTTGATTAAAGAGGAGAGAAGTAGATAACTATCTGTGGTGTTTGTTGTTCAATCCACTTCTGATACTTTTCATCAACATGTCTATGTTTTTGAAAACTCAAACCTTTTGTCCAGAAATCAGAGTCCTTTGTTTCATTTTTCTTCATAATTTCAGGGATCAATTTCTAGACTACATGTATGATCATGCTAACCTGGATCCAAACGCTTTCACAAGATCAAAATCTTTACAAATTTGGATAAGTCTCGTTAAAGAACAAGCATTACCTATCAAGAGGTAAGAAAATTCGGGAAACAATACATGATATGAAAAACCATGCCTAATACGGGTAGCCATACTGGATAATGTGATTTTTCATAGGTTTATTATTAATAAGCCAAAATTTTTAACATTTTTTTAAATTCAATTTTGTGGCATTTGCAGTAAGACACAAATTTATACGCCTTTTCCAACATCATTTTGCTCTATTCTTTTATGATTTACTGAAAGCTGGACTTTTCTGGCTTGCTAACAATAATCCCTTACCAAATGAAGCAAGCAAGATATAAAAATTTGCTGTCAGAACTGTTTTTATCTTGCTTTGTCGAAGCAAAAGGCAAAGTGAGCGTCGTATCATGTCATTATACAAAAAGAAAATTTGTCTTTCCCCAAAATTTGGGCTGGCTACCCTCTCGTTCTAAGCCAGTCAGAGTTTTCACTGGAGTCTGAGCAAGAGTTGTATTCAACTCCCCAGTCCCCACAGTCGGAAATGTAGACTCTCAATGTTGATGAAAGATTTTTTTTTACTGAAACTCGAAACACATTAGGTCCACCATTCTTTTAACAACAAAAGAAGTCTTGCATACGTCAATGTGGTATTATTGGGTTGTTTTCGTTTGCTATGTTTTAATATGGTGATTTGTCTGCACAAAAAGAAATACTTCATTTTCTTGCATTCTTTTTAGGTATCCTGATCTTGTTGAGTTGTGCTCAAGCTTGCTTCTTGACAAAAGTAATTTAGTTCGAAGATTCACAACTCAATTGTTGGAAACCATTTTGAGATTTAATCCCTTTGCATCTGAGGTTTGTTGAAGTTTGATTTGTCTTTGTTAATATTTCAATAATGCTCAGGAAGGCTGAATAGTTTTTATGGGAAAGGTCTGATGCTAAAATTATTTGAGAAATACAGTAATATCAGTGTAAATTCAAAGTAATTCTAGTTTAGTCATGTAAGGACTAGTATGATGGAGTTCGTCGGTTGGCACATCATGCTTAGCATGAGGAATATGCTTGCCACCACTGGCACTGCCACTGCTTGCCTCCAAGTTCATGGGAGGTTGCAACTAACTGTTGGACGGTTACGACTTCCTCCACCATCAAGTTCAAGCATCTGAAACGAAGAACTGGTTAGCTATTCCTGTATCCGAGATGGACTGCTCGTCATATGATTGAGTCTCCTTATCGGATTACTTTTCCCCTGGAATAAACATTACAATCCTATCCAGATTTAGTAAAGCCGTATTGGAGTGTTAGTGTTACTGAATACCATCTATGATGCATCTGCCCTATCACAGGAACTAGCCTGTAGCCAATCCTAACTCATATCTTACTTAATAAATACAATTTTATAGATAATAATTACGAGAGTTATATTTGATAGAATAGGTGAAACTTTGTGGACTCAGCCCAATCCATTGCTTGTTATTGAAGTATTTTTATGAATTATTTCATGCGTCTTGTGTCTGACTATGACCAGTAGGCTATTTAGGTTTGTTTCTAATTACCTGGTATATTTTCAGCTTCCAATTGATGTGCTACAAGCTGGATACAATGATGCAAAACTTAAATTAGAACAATTAATAAAAGAAGAAGAATCTGGTATGTATTAATAAGTTGATTTTTTTGGTTCTTGGGATTTAACCTGCATCTCTTGCACAAAGTGTGTCGACTGGCAATTTATATTTGAACATTATCCAGAGTGTGAATAACACATTAAAATATAGACACTGTGGCTATACAATGCTCTACAATATTACCCACTAATATTCAAGCAGCTACTATGTATGAAATTGACAAGGATTATTTAAATTTAATGTGCGGGATAGATCCTATCTATTACACCCTGATAAATATGTTGGTGATGGTTGGGGTTTGAACTTGGGAACTAAAACCTAAGAATCCTACTTTTTCTAACTTCAGCAGGAAAAGAGAAATCCGGTGACGCTCAAACAAGCCAAGATGATGAAACTGAGAAGAATGATGAGGAGGATTCTGAGAAAACAGACACAAATGATGTGTTTGTGGATGAAGTACCTGAATCTAACAATTCTCAAGAAGAAAATAAAACCGAAAATCCTGAAATTACAAAACAAAAGGTTGCTCGATTTTTGTATGCCGTGTCCTCTCATGAGGCTCTAGTCAATTTAACAGTCAGAAATAATGTATTTGGAAGAACTTGTATAGCACCTTTTGCCCATGCTCCGGTCATTGTTTTTGCACCATAATTTTACCTGACATTTTTGGAAGGTGAAGTTAATCAAAAAGGCAGTTCTGCTGTTGGCATAGCAGTTAACACATCTCAGGTTGAAATCCCATGCCCTCCACCTCACCCTTGTTGTAATGAATTGGGTAGCTGGAATGGAAAGATTTCAGTCCTTCCGAATTAATGTAACTACTTATCTATGTTCGTTCGAATAAGAATCCGGGAATAAGCATTGTTTTTACTACTATTTTACAGGAAATCGTCAACTACCTCTCAAATTCTGTGAGGTTCGCTTGTCAGTTTCACACTTGTATTCCTGTGCTTTGTGAGTTACTGAGGTCAAGAGTTCATTCTGATATTATCGAAACAATCAGTTTCTTCACGGCTGCTTGTCAATTTAAACTCAGTTCAGCATTCATAGGAGTAACTGCAATGTTACAGCAAATCTGGCATGAGGAACCAAAAATTCGCGAAGCCGTTGTTTCTGCATACAAACAATTGTACTTCACTCCAGAAGCAACTACTGCAAGGTATTTCATTTCACTGGAATTTTTTCGTATGATTGCTGTGTATAAGGCCATATGAGCTAACATGTATGTGATAGTTGGCCCACTAAGGGCCTTATAGTATGACTAAAATGCTTGTATTATTAAATTCAAAATTGTTGAATATATATTGACTTTTTCTATATATTCTCTGATGGACATGCCACATTTATAATTGAAATTTTCCAATATTTTTTGCAATCTGTGGAGTGAAAATGTACAATCGACTCATGGTTGTAAAAAGTTCCGACTTGACTCCAATTTCAGAGAAAATTAAGTTTTGATAAAAAAAACTTTGACATATGTAAGCATTCTTTGGTAAACGAAAATTGAAGTCATTATATCAACGTTGAAAGTGTGAAAATTTGACACTATACTCGAAGTTTCGACTTCTGACTCGAGAGAATTTAAGAATTACACTCTGGCTTTGTATTCTGTGAAAACATGCCAAATCCACCGCTCAACAGTCTCATGCACATTGTTAAGTAATATTTTTCTCATGTTCCAGAGCTCGAGCAAGTCTTATAACGGACAGTCTGATGACCTTGATGTCGGTGTCAACCGAAGGTAAAATCAAATCAATCGAAGCATTACTCAATCATCTGAGTAAGAGCGGAGATATACCAGATGGAGTAGCACAGGTTAGTTTCTTATTTATGATCAGAAACATCCTAATTGACATTGATTTTTTATGTTTGTTTTTTTAATTATTGAAAATTATTTCAAAATTCAACAATTAAAATTCCTAATATAATTGATGTTGAACTAATTAGAATATTCATTTCATTTGGATCACCCATGTATATGATATCTTGATTATTATTTTTTGTTTCAACCCCTGCTATCAGTAAAATAGTATCAAATGAATATAGTTTTGATTCATTTTTTGTTAAAAATATAGAAATAGGTGATAAATTTGGTTATTTCTAGGCCGATAATGAAGTATAATAAATAAATAAAACTTTTATTCAGATTCTTTGGGATCGATTTACTAAACCAGAATTGAACAATAGTTCATCTGTCAATATTCTGGGTTCATACGAACAACAAAAACTTGCTGTTCAATTGCTCGGATTTTTGGCCGGGTAAGTGTCTTCATTTCGTATTAAAACTGTGGACTATTACAAGATCATTTGCTGATGAATTGGGTTTCCTTATCCTTGTTAGTTAAATTATTGATTTTATAAAAAATAAGAAAAAGAAACACTGATTTTGCACAAGTTTTGAGGCATTTTATTTTCCTTTTACGCCAAACTTCATTTGACATAAGTGGATCATCTATGGAGCGTTTTATCAAATTGTGATGTCTAATATTTGAGCATTCCTCTCTTGTTTGTAAGGTATATAAGAACCCATCTTTAGATAAGATTTGAATGAAAAAAGTAAACAATTTTGACACCCATGAACAAAGATTTGAGGTCGTTGGATCAAATTATTTTGTTTTATTATGTAGAACGAATCCATCAATCGTGAAGAATAACATCGATGTTCTTGTCACTCATGGATTGAAAAAAGTTTTATCTGATTTTCCTGAAGATATTTCTCATACAATTGATTATTCTCTCGCTCTGTATACAACGAGGACTCTTGCACAACTTCGTACAAAACAAGCTCTTGCAGGAAAATATAAAAAGTCGATGAGGTTGCCACAATCTCATGATATCTTCACATGCTTGCAACAAATGATTGTGAAAGGTGGGATAAGAATTGTTTCATCTAATATACGTTACTGTACTCATGTTGGATTATACGTTGGAATTATTTATACAAACTCTTATTAAGTTGGTATGTGAATAGGTAATGGTTAAACGGTTAACTTAATTTAGTTAGTTGACCATTACTACAATCAATTTTACCTGTTAACTGTCACTCCCGATCATTTTCTAATATACAGACAGATAATGAAAATGAAATTTAATGAAATTTGCACATATTTATCTGTCAGTTGCCTTTAATCATAATAGAAGTCTGAGTCAGTTTTTGATTAGAATACTTTAGGAACGGTTTGTACCTCTTTCGTGAAATTATCACCCATATCATATGGCGCATGCCGCAGAGTATATTGAGCGATAGGCTCAAAGTTTAGAGTTTTTTGTCGAATTGTCATATGAAACCGAATTTGGAAGCGGTAATTTAATACTTCATTTCAACTTTTTCAGGATATAAGTTTCATTCGGACAACTGGGAACATTTTACTTCAGAAACAATAGCTTTGATCTATGATTTATCAGAAAATCCAGATAAGTTATGCGAGACGATCATACATGAAGTTCTGAGTATTATTTCTGAGAATGCAAATTGTGATGGTGAGAATGTTTTCATGTACTATTTACTACATTGATTCGATTATCATGTCATTCATGGAGAAAAAAATCAGGTCTGCGGATACGAAGTTGGCATGTTTTCGTTGGCTTCTAGATGGAATTCTAAATTTATAAGATATTAAATGCCAATTTCTGCTATTCGCTTCGATTTTCAAAAATAGGATTTGTTTCCACTTTCAAAACTAATATGACAAATGACAATGTCAATTTATGTAATATTTTTCATATTCTCAGAAATATTGAAGAAAGAAATGTTGATGACCAGATTCTACTTGATCTGTGGACAGATCACAATTAAACAACTTGTGTATTTGGAGGTTTCTGTTCAATCTGAATTGAAGCAAAGAAGGTAAGATCAAATTGATAATTAATATAAATTCAAAAATGATATGAATGCATGTTAGTGTGGAAGAAGAAAATCCGTAAATGTAAGGGGTTTAACTTAGCTCTTTTGTTTGGCATTTTGGCAAATTTTCAATTTATTCATTTAACTGTAACATTTACATGTAGATAGTCTACTCCAGTGTGCTGGAAGTGAACTATGAAAAAAGGGCACCAGACTAGACGATCTGGTATCAACCAAAACAAAGTTTTCTATTCTGCATGACCAAATCCTCTGAATTGCATAAATGAGACAGTGCGAGAAAACTAAGTTATGTCAAAATTAAGACTCATCAAACACTGGCAAATATTTCTGATCTGACCTCTTTCGTTTCCCATTTTTATCTTTGTGATTTGTTCTTATTTATTTAGAAAACTTATTTGAAGTTATTATTTGAGAACTACTTATTTGTTTAGAAAACTGAAAGACGAGAAAGAACACGCAGAAAAAAAGAAGAAAGAAAATCAAGAAAAGAAGAAAAATAAAAGGAAAAGTTTAGGAGATGCTAAAGTATGTCAAAACATATATACTTTTAACTGGGTTAAAATAATTTGTGTAGCATATTGGCAATCCTTGATTTAAATCTTGTCATTTTCAGTCGGAGTCAAACTTAGAGGAAGACATGGGTGTTGGTGGTGCCACGGCAGATGACGTCGAGCAAGAATTTATCAGAAATATAACAGAAAACGAATTACTCGCCAAAGATAATTTACTCGGACTTCTTGCACCAACACTCGTTCGTGCATGTCTTGCTCCGATTCATGCAGATCAACAAGGAGAAGTCGCAATTCAAGCTACGGCTTCTCTTGCTTTAGCCAAATACATGCAAGTAAGTAAACATAAGCATAGAGTTTATCGATAAGATAGCTGGGTGGACAAGTGTGCCGCAAGACAGTGTTCCCATATGTCACAAAAAGTGTTCCCAAGAATTTAAATAAATATAGTAGGAGATATTGGGCTCCTTATTTTGTGAAATAAATGAAAATTTGAAATTATTTGAGTTATTAGTTGCAGAAAAAAGCGACTTTTCCATGGCAACCTCGATTGGTCCAACTAAACTAACATGAATGAGCTAGCAAAACAATCCACTTTGTTACCATTTACTGTATGCTGCCTCAGCCATTTTCTTCAGCCTTACACAGCAGCCTATTCGACTTGAAACTAGTAACTGTACAAGGGTTGTGGTGGACTCAGCCTTTTTCTTTCCCTTGGGTGAATATCACAAACTCTACGTTTCTTAATTTTTCATCTTTGTTTTAGGTCAGCTCAAAATTTTGCGAAGATCATCTCCAGCTTCTGTTTACATTGCTTGAAAAAAGTCCCCATGAAGTTGTCAGAGCTAATCTGGTTATACCAATAGGAGATTTATGTGTGAGGTTTCCAAATCTTCTAGAACCATGGACTGCGCATTTGTACGCCAGGTAAGGTTATTGGGTATGTGAAGTGAGGATTCACATAGTGTGACTTTTTTGAGTGCACTCATGATAATGTAAGAAAAATATTACCCCTGAAGCAGATGTAAGCAATTATTATAACTCAAAACCAATAAACAATGTGTCAACAGTGGCATATTGTACTTGAATGATTCTGATTCTTCTCGTGACCTTAATTCATGACTTGACTCAGCGGTTCCCAAACGAAAAAAATGTGCTTTTAAATAAAGCACACTTTTGTGATCGTAAATGTGTACTTTTTCCTTTTTCAAAATTTATAAACATGTTGGCCCCCTAAGAAATAAAGGCAAAAAGTCAACTTCTTCATCTCTGCCTGATTTTCTTGGAAATCCTAAAATAATAGTCATGTTCGCTGAACTCGGTTTAGCAGATGAATAAACTGCAGCTCGCAAAATTGCAGCAAGTAGTGTCTATCTCTGTTGTTACATAACAATAGAGGCAGACACTACGTAACAGAAAGTTAATGACATAGAAAGGCAAAATGGATTTGTGGATTCATATACACAGTATTTAAAAAAAGAAACAATAAAACATTTATATTAAATACAATATGTAAAATATTCAATCATATTTTAGTTAAGTTAAACATATTCTGATAATTTTCACGGCGCATATAGCAACTCGTCGCAGCACACCTTTTGAGAACCGCTGACTTAACTTCCTGACGTTGTGAGATGTCCACTCTCCTATGTTATGTAGCATATGAAATGACCTTCAAAATAAGACCTTATCATACTAGCTTTTGTTATTGGTTAGCGCGCAACGCCAAGGTTTATTGAATTATTTTCTTGTTGTGCGACGTTTTTCTATCGCAGCGGGAAGTACACTCGTGAAATGTAAGCTATATTTTATTACTTCCAAATGTCATATAACGTTCATTCTTATATTGCTGGGTAGGAAATGAGCTATTCTTCCAAACAAGACCATAACAAACATTCCAGACCTCATGGTTTACACACAGCGTCTGAAATTGCGCTAATGCACCGATTCGCTAGGAACAGGTTAACTCATAAACTAACTATTTGTGGCCAACGCAGCTGCTAGTAGCACTCGATACCCCATGTTAGAGAACAATGTTTCAAGCCCTGATTTGTCCGATTACCCTTTTCATTTCTTACCTTTTTCCCCATATATATATAGCCCCTCTTATAGCTGGTACATCGCCTTCTTTGAAAGGAAATATATAAATCATTACACCAAAAAAAGATCTTTCAAAAGCATATTGTCTGAAGCAGGAATATTCCAATAAGACTATAATTCTATCTTTAAAAATACCCTTTTAACTTATTTCTTGAACATTCGATTAAGACTACTTTCAGGAATAAATTCTTTTTTTATTTTTCATGAATTTATAGACTTAAAGATGAATCACCACTTGTACGAATCTACGCTGTGAAAGTTCTCTCCAATTTGATCTTGAATGACATGGTGAAAGTGAAAGGACATGTTAGTGAGATGGCAAGATGTACTGTTGATGAAAATGAAAGAATTTCGTCGCTTGTTAAAAAATTCTTCCACGAACTTTCAACCAAGGTATGTGTTATATTGCCAGTTCTGAGAAGATTATAGCGGACTTCTAACTTTTAAAATATATGACCTTCGACCCTGGGTTGACAAGAATTTTGACTTTGACTCCAGATTGAGAATTGTCTGTTGGGAATGCTTCGTCAACCTAAATTCTTTGGCGGTTTCTGTCCAAATTTTTGACTTCGATTATCACCATTGAACTTGGGAAAGTTCAAATATTCGACTTTGGGAGTTTGAAAATACGACTGCATTTCAACTCCAATATCAATAAAAGCATGCAAAACTGCGTTACCGCAGCCCAGGTCATGGCCATCAGTTTTTTTATTCGACGCTCATTCATTATTTTGCTTCAAACAAAACCATACAAACAGCCACTGATATCTAGGACCTAATACAACTTCGAAAGGACAAGAATCTATCTTACCCCTCTAATCAGACGCTGGGTTAGGTGCGGGACTTGTGTCATATCCATTTCTTTTTAAAACATTCTCTTTTTAACTCTAATTTGCAGAAGTTATTCAATTTATATATCTGATTTCAGGGGAATTCTATATACAACGTAATGCCCGATATAATCAGTCGATTATCAGATCCAGATGTCGGTGTACCGGATGATGAACATTTCCAAACTATCATGAAATTTCTATTTTCCTTTATTCATAAAGACAAACAATCTGAAAGTTTGGTTGAGAAGTTATGTCATAGATTCAGTGCAACAAGGTAGGCACATTTATTTATAGTGATTGGTGAACTTGCTTTCATAATCATAATCATAACACAATCTAAATGTCCAATTTGGCATTTTTTTTTACAAAATTGATTGATATTTCTTGGAACACTCAAAATTATTTAGCATTTACTTGTCACAGTTTGGGAGCCCACTGCCCATAGGTTCCAGTCCATTTACACAGCTTGATATAGAGTAGACGAACGAAATTAGTCACCTTCATATTGGTACACATACTTCTGGAGCGCCGAACAATGAGCCAAATTTGCTGGTGCTGATCTCTTTGCAATCATGCTAGGGAAATGGACAATGCCCATATTTGAATAGTTTTGTATTAAATATATTTCTCTGTATATCATTTCAATTTCAACATAGATACATTTTATCATAATGAACAGTGCTCTTCTGAACTTCTGAATTTGTTTATGTTCTCAGCTTTTGTTTTTTATTCGTTTATTGTCGTGTCAGTATACCCACTTTTCCAAAAATTTCAGTGATGTTGGATTCTTTAACTCGCATCTGTTTTTCTGATCGTATTGCCGTTGCCGATTGTATCTTCTTTAAATCTTGTGTTGTTATTTTATGGTGCTGCTTTGTGTGAATTCTATGTAAAAAAGAAGTCTTGTATATCAACAAATTTTAAATCACATATTTTTGTGAAAATTCATTGTTGTTGAATATCACATTTTAAGTAAATCATGTCTTGATCAATTTTCCAAATTTTTATTGTTACAGGACTCGAAGACAGTGGCAAGATCTTGCATTCTGTTTGTCTTTGTTGTCGTATTCTGAAAAATCCATTCGAAAATTACAAGAAAATTTCACTTGTTTTGCCGATAAATTATTTGACGAACAAGTCTATCAATGTTTTGCAGGAATTATAAACAAGTCGAAAAAAATCGCAAAACCGGAAGTAAAGGTAATTTTTAATTCTTGAATTTGTTATCAGCTGGAATTTTTTTGAAAAAAAAAATTGATCAAAGCAAAGCCACACAAAGTCACCCAAGCCCACTTATATATATAGAATTCTGCTAATAGTGAATCGGACTGAACCCTAGTCTACTGATTGTAATGTCTGACTGGAATGTTTAGTTTTAGCGATTTTGGTATGTATGATTTATGAAGTTTTGATTTGAAGTTCATTACTTATCGATCTTAAGATCGGATGTTGATAGGTATTTGTCTGTTTGTTTGTTTGTCTGTCTGTTAGATGCACGCGATATCTCACGAAAGCGAGATTGAATCTGCTCCAAATTTTGCATGTGCATTCACCATAGCTCGAACCAGAAGCCTATTGATTTTGGATGAATTATGTCGTTTAATTAGCGAGTTATTATTTAATTAGTGATGGTACAAACGGTGTCACTATGGAGTGAGAGCGCTGTTTTGGGGGATCCCCTCGCTTTCGATCGATAGGTCTTTGGTCTCCGACCGATATCCTCGTTTTGATTTTGATTCGAAAAAAATCTAATTGTCTATCATTGAAGAACGTAATGTTTATCATATCTCATGATTTTGCCACGCGGTAGATAACTTCATAAAACCTATTTATGAAATGTAATAAACTGAACAAAATTATTCCGAACTGCCTGCTTTTGAAAATATACATCTGTGTAGTGTTTTATTGATACAATATTGAACCTGTTATATTAACAATATTTTCACAGTGCAGTTATTATTAAATTTATAATTATTACCCAGTTAAATTGATCAAACTAGGATTCCTCAGTTTATTCAACCCATTTATTTCTCTCAGGTTCAAGTAGATGAGTTAGAGGTGTTAATTGATGAATGTCACCAAAAAGGAGTTAGCGACGATCAAACAGCTGCTAAAGCGGCAGCAGTTGTCAAGAAATCAAGGTATTTTAAGTTTTAACAATTCAAGTCCTATGTTGTCATTATTTTGGTTTATTAGATTAATTTATTTTGTACAGACAAAGTTTTAACACGTAGCTTTGAGGTAAGGCTGTGTAGTTAAGGAAACAACCCAACCCACCCTAAACTCTAAGCCATTTAAAAAACTACTCCTAATTCGAGGTTGACAAAAATTTTGACTCTGACGATGGCCCCCAACCCCAGGTTATGGGTCATTATGGCGTTGACTTCAGCTCCAAATTTTGATAACAATAGCTTTTGCGCACCCATTTTTTAAATATGCATAGTGAACTCGACGTTAAGTTGGGTTTCTGTCGAAACTTCGGTTATCATCATTTGAAGTCCTAGGAACTTGAAATTTCCATTCTTGATTTTAGGGAGCTCTTATAAAAAGTGTATCTTTTTCATCATCTTTGTGTATAATTGATTTTAAACATTCGACATACATTGTGTTTTTGATAGGAGGATTTCAAGCATACGATCGCCAAGAAACGTTATTGCATGGCCCGCAAAATCACCATTGCCGAAAGAGGGGTTTCCTGGTGTTGCAGGTATAGTAAATAGCATTAATGCTCTTTCCCAGGGATGGGCAAAGTCGATATTAATATTTATAATACAACATAACAATTTTTTTTTTTTTTTAATTTTTGAAATGTTTAATTCAATTATTGGATTGCTTTCATTTGGGAATAATTTTTTCGTCTGTTTGAATTTTAACTGTCTTTTGTTGAGTGGGAGTCGTATGAAACTCCAAATCTTGGATGATGCATAATGTTAGGAACGTCTCATTCTCTGCTTGCTTATATTTTCATCGCTATTTTCAAAGCCATGTATTTTTCTCAGCAAATTGCTCATTTTTTCATGAGTTTTCTTTGCATGATCTTAATTATTCATTTTCTCTTTTTGATTAGACATGTACGTATACATCTTATTCAATGATTAAGCTAACTTTATTAAGTGTAAAACAATTATCCAAAGACTATTTGGATCTGTTATTGCAAGTCTCGTTCGACCTGCTGCGTACTTTTCCGGGACTGATTGTCGGTTTAAACTATGGATGTCCTTATATCGTTAGTTTCGTTCTGAAAATTTGATTTCACAATTAATTTGGAATTTGAATATTCAGCATGGTTATCATATTGTTTTGTATATTTTATTTTTACTCAAAATTAGGCTTGTTTCACCGGAAATTTACTGCAAAAATGACATTTTACTTAAAATCTGAAATTTCTTATTTCCTCAAAATGGATATTTTTGACTAACGTTAAGTTGAAATTTGGGCATTCCTAGTTTCGATTTTGACCATCATGGTTATTATATAAGTGTAAGGTTTAGGTTACTTATACTTGCGCAATATTTTTATATTTTTTATCGCATTACGCTCAACACCGCATTTCGTTTCACGAATCGCTACGCGTTTTCAGTTTATCCTAATCGCCGATCAATAGATGCTGATTTAGGGTAGGTAATTTTTTTTGGTGGATTTTTTTTTGTTATTGCTACCGGTAGCTTGGATGTGACAGGGTAGATAGACCACAATTGCAGTTATTAGTGTAGTTTATTACTTTTTTCTTTTTGTAAGTATAAAGGGAAAATTGTTCTGGGTGTAATTTTAAACCATTTTTAAAGTGTGTTATATAAATGTGAGTGCTCAATAAGGTTTCTGTCATAATATATTCAGAAAAAATGCTTCAATTTTAATTAAAAAGTAATGAATATTAAAAAAGTAATAAAAAATAAAATGAAAGATATTCCTGATTGCCTGATATAAATTTTTCTCAATTCTAGTAGCTGCACATTCGAAAATTATGATTTCAATAATGTTTTTTGATGATTCATTCACTTGCAACATCACATGATAAATATTCTCATGACGATGCAAAAAATCTTGATGTTGGATATCTGTTGTTTATAATTCATCAGTTGATTATCTGTGGTTCGACAAATACCATTGATTTGAAAATAAATTTTCAGATGCTGCACATTTTGTATTTATTATTTCTATTTTTCGAGTTGGGTCTATCTATTTTGTCCATCCCTGGATTAATTTAAGTAATGCTACTTTCATTAGTTTACTGTACTATAATTATTGTTTAAAATATATTTTTTATAAACATTCTTCAACTATACCAGGCCATACTTCAGGAATGAAAGATCTTCTCGATTTAACATCGTTACAAGAAGTAATTAGAGCAAAATATTCAAACTTTGTACCTCCGTCACCTGGTAAATATTCTAGTTTTAATTATCTTGTAACTTATGGAATATAGATTTTACAATTATTAACGCTGGTTTCAAGTTTCAAAGTTGGATATCGATTTGCTGTTTGAAAGTTTAAATAAATAAAACAACAAAATTGAATAAACATGGTGATTTATATCTGTCACCAGTAATAAATGTTGACCTTTTCCCATTTTCAACTCTGCAGGCATGCGTCCCACTCCATTGTTATCCCTCAAATGTGATTTTAAGATAACTTTATTTCCTTTAAAAAAAAAGCAGAAAAAATCAAAACAAATTTATGTATTCAGGTATCTCATCAACCGCATCTAGCCAGTTCACACCTTCATCACCACGGAAACGTACAATGTCAACGGATTCCAATTCTTCTTTAACCATTAAGTGCAAAAGAACTGAATTTTTTGGCTACACACCATCGTGTCAAATTCAGGTAGTAATGTCGTTAAATTTAATCTTTCACAGCTACTATGTCAATTCAATGGAATAATAATGATGATTGATGGCACCTGGTTCTAAGCGTTAGGGACATGCTTGCCATAGCCTCTGGCTACTTAGCATGGCTCCGCAGACTTGAATCCTGTGGGGGAATGGGGGATCATTATGTATGGCGGGATTCGCACCGTCACAGGGGGTGGTTTGTGTAACCATAGGTCAGTTACGGCTTCTTAGATTATCAAGTTCATGCATCTCGAACAAATGACTGGCTATTTATTCTCATACAGCACATGGACTGTTAACAGGAGGAGAGACCGTGTTTCGTCATACGATTGTCTCGTCGGCTTTTCTTGCCCCAGGATAATATGAAAACCCTATTCCATGTGTATAAATTAGTCATATTCTCTTTTTCATTATTCTATTGAAGCTTATATTAAAAATAGAAATTATTGTAAAACTACTTTCAGAAACTTGGTAAAAAGATCACTGGAAACGAATCTACAAAATTATAAGTAAACTTCATTTTTCATTTCACACGAAGTGGAAATTGTTGTTTTTGTTTGTTCTGTTGTATTGGTGTTGTGAAAAATGTCTTTGAAACGCTGTTTCGGCCTACGTGTCTATATATTTGAGCATAGCCATTTTGTTTCATTGTTTCAAACAGCTTCTCATGGCTAGCGATTGCTAAGATTTGTGGCTCATTGTGCTAAGCATTCTGAATACGCTCGCCACCGCACCTCTGATTACTCTGTGTGTGTTCGCAGTTTCGAATCCCATGCGGGGTTGGTTATGTGAGAGAGAGGATTTTCGTCGTAGGGTGGTTCACGTAACTGCTGGTCGGTTACAGCTTCCTCCATCATCAAGTTCATGCTTCCAAAAAGAAATGACTAGTCGTGGAATGGTAACTGAACGAGGGGTCGTGGTTCACCGTATGGGTAAGCCGTCTTATCGGGTTTCCTCTCCCCCAGGATTAAAATGTAAATCCTATTTTATTTGCCGTTCATTTATTCATTTTTTTTAGGATATACCAGGCCATATCTGTTGCACCTGTCATGCTGAAGGATTCTGTTGCAAGTCAAGATGGATTAGAATTTGATATCGACAAAACAATAAAGAATTCTTACTTTTCTGCATTTTCTTCAGCAAAATTTGATTTTCAGTTCGTTTTTATCAAAATCTCTTTTGAACTATGCATTAATGTACATGGTCTGTAATTAACAACGCTGCTGAGTTTGTAGGAAGTATTAGATATGGGTCATGTTGCCCAAATTTGGCACATATAATATTGTATTTAAAATCGGAATTTTTTGTTATCATTCGATTCTGGAATATATATCTATTTCGATTTGTGCATCCTAGTTGGTACTGGAGAAGAACGTGCTACACACTAGTGATTGATATTACTTGGCACTACCATTTTAGGGATACTGGTGCAGGTTGCCATTATCATCATTTTCTCAATTTATTATTCGTTTTCACTTCTTCATTTTTCGTTTATTAATAACAAGCGTGTATTTCTTGCCAATCGTTGGCTACAAATATTCAGAAAACATTGAATAACAATTTTAAAATAAGGTTTTACATAAATACATGTTTTTAAAGATTTTGGATCTGGAAATTTTTTTGTGTTATTTCTCATAAAATTTCTTTGTTGTTGCCATTGTTGGTTTCATGTATATCATACAAGGTTAAGAGTATAATATAATGTTAATTGTAGTTTTCAATTGTACTTCTGAAAAAATTTAGCAAAAATAATATCGAATCTGATAGCCACTCCTTTCGAAAAGGTGGTTCTGATGCGTGAATGATTAAAACAGGGATTCTCAGCAGTTCAGAACAAATCAAGTACCTTGTGTAGAAAGCCCATGCCACTAATGCGAAAATGTCAGATTTGAGAAAAATACCCCGCCAGCATATTTTGAGTGCTGCAGATTGCGCTCGCCACGTTTCAAGTAATTAAAATAAAGAATTTGTGATTATCCGATCAGGAATGATTTGAAAATTGGAATTTTCAGCCCTAACTAGATATTTACTAATTTTTTATTTTGAGCGGTGGCAGAGGCGTCTACGAAAGATCCCAAATCAATACGAAATTATATTCAAATTTTGAAATTTGTGGTTTTAGGAATAATTCATGATCAAAATGGTGACGACCAAAAAATACCTTTCAATCATTTTATTGAAACTCTAAAAAGACAGAGACAATAAAATCACAGTTTGTTCCAACCCTTCTGTATTTCTCAGTTGAAAACTCTTTGATTGAATATACTGACTTCTACTTGTTTATGTTGAACATCATCCATCTTAAATATAATCCATGTTTGAAGGTATTATTTTAGACTGTTTCAGAATATTGGAATACACGTTCATATTACCAGATGTGTCTTACTGACATCATGCTGTGTTAATTTGTATTTAATGAAGATAAACTGCTTGGTTTAATTGTCACTGGATATTTTAAAAATATCACCAATCTTGTACCTGTGAGCACACCATAAGTGGAATGTAGTCTCACAAGTTTCCCAATTATTTAATCATTGTAAAATCAACACTTTCCAAATGAGTGGTTAATGGTGATCTATTGTAATTTGTCTGATTTGATGAACTGTTGAGCTCTAAAGCAGAGGATCCCAAATTTCACAAACCCCCAATCAGTGCCGGTATTCAAGTGGTTCACTTGAATCCCTTTTTGGAATGTCATGCTATTCAGCGAACATGATCTTGATTTTTGGAGGTATCTATAACTTTAGTATGGTTTCCTGGTTAGCGAGTCCAATAGCTCCCAACCATATGGTTTATGTAATTCAAATAATAATGTATTGAAAAATAAATTAAAATTAAATTACGGCAATAAAAAGATTTATACTACGTGTAATAATCAATGCGAACTTATTTTGTGAGCAACTATCATTTTATGGCTGAATGTCCGACATCACCATTCATACTTCTCTCAATGTTAATTTCATATTATTTTTTGGCGATAGGAAGTAGTTTTTGGAAAATGGATTAATATATGTATGGAAAATATTGATGACTGAAAATGGTACAACTTTGGCCCTCATTGAATCTTTTCTAAATACATATTGGATACTGTGCTTATTGTTGTTCTGATTTTTACTTATTTCTTTCTGTTTGTACAATTTTGCTGTTGTTGTTTTCTTTCAATTTCTTACGATATTCTATTCTCAGATCACTTTGAATTTCAATAAACATTGTAAAAAATATACATTGTAGATGTCTGCTGTGTTATGATGGATGCTGCCTAGACTTACTTCTTCATCAGGGCAACTTAGATATAGAAATATTTTTGCATTGGCTAGCATACTTCAATGGTGAATTATAGTCATAAATTCAACTGAAAATGAATTTCAAAAGCAATGGTATAGAGATTTTCACACGAACGGAACAAAAGAAACGACTTTTGACCAATTACATGATCAAGCTCTCTCATAAAATGAAAAAAATCCTATTTAATTACTTCATATTGTCAACTTTTGTTTGATATTGACCAAATAATATGCCTCGATACATAATTTCCTGTTTTCTCATATCCAATCACGTTTACCCTTTCTTACTAGTCTTATTTCTCGTTTATAAACTTTAAATAATATTTCATAATAATATTTCAGCAAAACCTGCTCAAACTGGACGCAAGAAACGAACAGTTCGATCATCTAGTGAAGAAGAGTCTGATGATGATTTAAATAGTTCTGGAGGTGAACAGGAAACTCAACAAAATGCGGTGGGTAAAGCATTTAGGGAACAAACAATTGCGTTAGCACACTTGTTAAACAAACAATATAAGCTCAAAGCAGAGAGCGTTGTAAACATTCCCCACTACTACTATCAGTTATATTTAAATTCTAAATAGATTTTAGAAATTAGATTTTATATTAAGTTTTATTAACCATGTAATATCCCCAGAAACGTAAAGTTGACAGAGATTGGATACAGAAGTATTTCTTGTAATAATCCGGCCCGCCGAGGACTTCATCTTCCCACATCTGGCCCGCAGACTAGAGAAGTTGCCCACCCCTGTAGTAGAGGGTATATCCATCTCAGGCTGATATATTTTTGTCTTACTTTAGACCAGTGGTTTCAAAAATTTTTTGCTTGGGCGCACTGAGCAAGTAAAAAAAATTTGCGGCACACTTGTAAAAAAAAGTTAGCTTTATGCAAAATTATTCTGCAAATGCTAATGCAACATGTGTGCCTGTTTTGAGAAACAATTGAGACGAGGTTCTGTCACTCCTATTTGTGCTTTTAATTTAAGTCAGAGCAGAAAATTCGTGTTCACAGAGCCATGGATGTGCAAATGGATAGATTATTTTGATAGCTTTTGCACTAATGATTGAATAGAATTTGTGAGCAGATAGCCAAAACTTGCTTTCCAGTTAGCCTAATTAAACGTGGTAGGTCAACATGGTGGAATGTCTTGTTTACAAATACATTACAATATGCAACAATATTATCAGTCTAATAATGGATAGTGCGCACTAAAGTCTCACAAGCTTGCCCGTTGTGTAATACGAGCTTATTTTTTAAAATTCTGAAAAGCTCCACGGCATACCTGAGAATTTTTCACTTCACACAGTTTGAGAAACGCCACTTTAGACTTTAACTCGATATTCATCAACCTTGGTTTTGTGGAGGCTCTCAAGGCTACGGTGATGGCAGTTCAGATGGTACTCCTGAAGTATGCGCACCAAGATGTCGCACAACCTGAACGGCTGAACCTTAACCTGGTACACAACCTGAGTTTAGGTTGTGCGCCATCTTGGTGCGCATAATTCAGGAGGTTAGTTCAAATATATCATTGTTTCTTATAGGAATCTCGACCTGCTAGAGTAACAAGAAGAGCAGTCAGAAGATCAACAAGAACTGAGACGAGGGTTGTCATCAATTTTTCAAGCGATGATGAAGCTGATGATGACAATGAGGAAATAGAAGATGATGTCAAGGGTATTCTTTCTAGACATGGAATTTTTAATATTAAGTTCTAACTTTAATCTGCTGTATTTAACTATTTAAATTTAATCGAATGTTCTCTACATGTCCACCAAACTACATATTTCCATTAGAAACACTGCTTGAAGATATCAGGCTGAATAGTTGTCATCGTATTACTCAGGATATTACCAAAAGACAAAATCATAAATCTAGAAAGTTAAAGAGTTGTGTTGTTTGGCAGATTTCCTATGTAAGTAAGCTTAGCCATTGTTTTAACCCAAATTTCATCTATTTTGAAAACCAAATGCTGATTATATAAGCTTGACCTTGGGTAACTTTTTCTACGGCTAATCATGCTATATATGTGTGATTTGCTTCTTTATTTCAGAAAATATTGCTGTTGTTGAACCACCTGCCGTAGATCTGGAGGAAGCATCAGATATAGATAGTCAAAATAGTACTCCGATAAGAAGGAAGAAAACACCAAAGCGAAGAATGACTCGCTCAATGTTGCGTGCTTAATAATGTTGAAAAATCAGTTGGTTTCGTTCAAATCAAGAAGAATTAAAATTTGTACTAAACTGTAAATGTATATAGATATTATCAGGAAATTAATGGAAAGTAGAAATTGAAAAAAAAAATATTTATCTGTATATTGGTTTTGTTCACCATATGTGTTTACTTATGACAATCATAAACTTATTGTTGGTGCATAGAGAAAATTCCTAAATCCAACCTAGTTGATTCGGTACTCCTGTAGTATGTGTACCAGGTTGGGCACAACCTGAACATAGAAGTTGTACCAGGTCAGCGTTCAGGTTGTGCGCCATCTTGGTGCACATACTTCGGGAGTGACGGGGAATGTCTTTGTTGGCCAAGTGGCCCCCTGCCCATAGGCTTCTGTCCTTTTACTCAACCTGATGTAATGTAGGCGAACAAAAATAGTTACCTCCATATTGGTACACATACTTCTGGAGCGCCGTTGATTCACTGCCATTTTCATTTTTTCACAATTAGCTGCATTTGATACCTTCTTTATATTACTTGTTTATCTATAATTTGTATTTCATTTTTCAATCAGTCGCCAAACTCGTGCATTTGTTTTTCTAAATGTATTACACAGATAATGATTTATTCATCTCTTCAGAGTGCTGAGAAATCTGTAGAATGTCACAACAATTTGAATAACTCTTCTATTGCCCACTTGTTCTCAATTGACACGCAATGCCATACAGTTTCTTTATAGTCTTGTGCAGGTCTGTGGATTCTGGGAAAATTTATGATCAACTTCAACTCTGAGCTCACCAATTGGGTACTCAAGACTCCAGGATGATGGAAATTTTTGACTCCAGCGCCGAACTCTGTGGAGATTTTGACAAACACTTTGGCATTTTGAGTTTCTGTATAAAATTTTGACTTCAATTATTACTAACCAAAGTCTGAAATTTTTACTCGGATACTCACAGATTTTAAATTCTCTCTGCAAGAAATTTGAAATTACGACTTTGACTCTGTGGTGTAGTAGTTAAAAATGAAAGTTAAGACTTTTGAAAATGTCTTGTAGTGATAGCCAACTTCAAACTTTTTTGGAACAATATAATTTATAATAGTTTTCAACTAGAGGAATTTTCGAAAAAAACAATTGTTAAGGCTGTTTATTAAAGTGGGACTGCTTTTGATGGATTTTTTGAGAGTTATAATGTAAATAAATATATTTGTGCATAATGTACTTTTGATCCGAGTATGATATGCATTTCACTTTCGTCTGAACATCGTTTAGCGGTAAGTGATTGGTTTATGTGATATTATAAACCTGGTAGTAGATTGCAAGGAGAAAGAGCTCGATATTAAAAAGTGATTTAAGTAAGTGAACGAGTAACATAAGTCGTTACATGCACGCGTCGTCGCAGCAATTGGGGTTGGGACCCCAGGATTTGGACCGTTATTTTTTCAATCCCGATCCCGCAATTATTTCCTAAAAATCCCCATGTAGATATTCTCACAAACGGATTATATATATATGCCATTTTATTTAATACTTATTTTGAGAAACAAAAAACATCCACGCTTACAGTTTTAGTAAGTCAGACCAATGACATTAAACAACATGATGCGCAACTCCGGCATTTTTGGCCGAAGATCGTATCCGATAGCACGCTCCAATGCACATACTTGGCGAGACGAAAACGAGCGGATGTGTGCTGCTTTCAAGGCATAGCACGGATAGTGTTCGCGCCTGCTTTGACAGTTGTTGTCGATTTTAATGATATTTTGGAAAGTTGAGGTAAAAAGGTAAGGTAAATACTATTGTTGTATATCACACCCGGGCATCGCACTGTTAAGTACATGTGGAAAGCCAGCCTTTGTCAAATACTACGAAGTTATTAATTCAGTACGGTACGTAGTTGCCCATTTGCCAAAATTGCATATTTACTTACCCCTCATGGTTTCAAATAGTTCATGCACCTCCGTTTAGATTTTTTTAATCAGTGAGGATATATACTCATTGCTGATTGCTGTTCATTGTAACATACTACTGCACATTCACTTTTATTTGCGTATTGAATCAAAGTGTTGACAAGTTCACCTAACATTTCACTCATACCGGTCTATATTGTATAGTCTGATCTCTCAAGTATTTGGAGCCACCAATGCTTGTAGTTTTCTGACTAAACCCTTTTATTAGCTGGTTTATATACCAAATTCAGTTAAACATTTTTTACATAAAACATGAGATATTGGATTTATTAGCTTTTCCATTCTAAATCATATAGACTGCTTTATTTATTCTTAACGAAAATTAATAAATCTCCTCTCTTTCTTTAGATGTGAAAGTTGTGGACCAACCTGTCTAAGCATTGTGAGACTCCTGCAGCACAAGAGGCAATAGCAAAAATAGTAAGTATATCAATCAAGAAATTAAGCCGACATAAAGCAAAACTTTCAACTATTCGCCTAATCTCAATTTCCCATTATTTATTCACAGGACAACTATACCAGAAGGGGAGATATCAGAAATCTGGCGACATATCAGTGACAGTGTGATTCCAAGAAATATAATTAGAGTACTCCATGAATGTTTGCATTAGAAAAACAATCTATGGAAGCATGCAAAAACATTCGAGATTCGACCATCCGGTAGATTTGTGTATGGCCCCCACATCCTGCAGGGCTTGAGGAAAATAACTAAAAATTCCAAAGCGTAGGATTGCATAGGCGGTCTTCTTTGTAAAAAGGCACAAAACACGCCAGACATACTTAAAACAGCTTTGGAAAATGAGGATTACGGGTAACTCACTGCACCAGTGTTATGTGCAGTATAACTTTTGCATTTGCATTAACAGTGTAACTTTTTTGCATTACTGGAATTAATTAAACATTCGCAAAGATCCAGATTAACCCATGATCATGTGACCTCGTTAGTTAGAGTTGGTACTACAATCATTTCAGCCTGGCCTTAGTATGCTGGTGACACAAAAAAGATGCCAAACGTCAGAACAAATGTAATTAAAAAAACATTGAGTATATACTGTAGTATTTTTGTTAATTTTAGGTTCATATATTTAGATTAAGTCATTTTTAGTGTATGTATTATTTTTTCCTTATCCAAAGCTTGTTCAAAAATGATTTTGATGGCTGTACATGGAATTTTATGATTTTTTATAATAAATACTGTAACTTGCAAATGTTGCAATAATAGTGGAATGCAAATATTAATATGTAATTGCATTTGAAATTGAAGAAAATAAGAAAACTTGATCCAACTGTTTAGTTGCATCACAACATAGGTCACAAACTAAAACTATCTTAAAAATATCTTTCAAGTATACATTATCAAAAACTGTTTGCGGCCCTTTCTACAATTTCCAAAATGCAATGCGGCTCTCGAAAACCCATGAGTTTGAAACCACTGATCTATTCTAGAGGATTCAAGCATAGCTTTGGGAAAGAATATCACTTCAATTAAATTGAAAAAAACCTCGCTATATTAAATACAAAATCGTTGCTATCATAAAGGTAAACCAATTCAGCCACTCGAAATATATTGGCCTTCACAAAGTAATGGAGGCAAAATTGAGAGTTCATTAGCTATGAACATTTGTTCTTTTCGTTGTCTCGAACTTTTCATACTCCACAGCCCCTGTTCATTTTTCTAATTTTAATTACTATGTGATGGTCATACTTATCTTTAACTTGTATTTTCTGTCATGATGTATTATCTCAATGTGTCAAACCATTAATTAGTGTGCATATTTTGCTTCCAGATGACATAAATGTATTGTCTTGTTTATTACCTCAGCTTGGAGTATTGACAAGAAAAAGGTGCCAGTAAATTAGGTAAAAAAGTTTTCAACTCTTTGTTATAATCAGAATTCACAATTAATAGGAATTATAAACAGCCAACAATCAATGAGAATTATATGCGAAATCCCACAGAATAAAGTTGTCTAATATCGGAGGAAGGCAAAACATATAGGTAGTTTCCATTCACACAAGCATTTCAAGAAGACTTGCTCGAGCCAAACTAAATGAGCATCGTCAAGTGATCGGTAAGGCTGCAAGTTGAATTCAGCCCTGGAACCTCCTGCATAGAAGATAATATTAATTAGTGGGCTATGAGCTAAATTCCTAAATTTAGACACAAACCTATCTACGATGCATTATGTACCAGCAATGTTGCCTACGATAAACTGAATATGTAATATGTCTAATAAATTCACCTAGTTCGATAGGTGCAAACTTTGTGTTATAGAATTGTATCACAGCATCGTTAAGAGAAGTAAAAACAGTTTTGTACGACACCCTCTTTAAATGAAAATGCAATGTTTAAGCGCAAACATCAAAATTACTAACTTTGAACTTTGTCATTATCTGCAAAATGTTCCACACAAATCTTCTTAGATAACTTCTTCTTCACAAACTTCTTAGATATAGAGATTATTTTCTTTTGTTACAGGCGCAAAAAGGCAGATACTACACGTAAGAAAGACGCCGAGTAGCAAGAGCGAGCGGAAAACGGTCGCGAAAGGCGACGAGAAATATGTGAATTGGAGCGTATCATGAAATACAATCTTTCGCCTGCAGTCTTATGGAGTGACGTCAGAGTTGCCTATCATGTTGTTTAATGTCATTGGTCAGACTAAGTGGAATTATTGTGCAAAATTTTACCAAGGAATTGTTATCTGCAGGCTTGTACATGTGATGGGACTAGGGTTGCCAACTTTGTGTTAAAACATTCCGGGACACCTTAAGGACTAGAATTTGAAAACTGATGAAACAAAAGCTTGTGAACCACGAAAGACATCAAAAGAAGCGCTGGGCGTCGAAGAGTGATCATCCCGCAGAGTTATTTTCACGATTTGAAGCCTCTCAATAATTTTACCCTAATCAAAAAATTGGATGTTGAATCGTTGAGGCATAAATACAAACGAATCAAGTGGATCTCGAACTTTTTAAGCCGCGACCCTTCATAATAGTTTAGCAAGTCTCGCGCCCCACCTCGAAAATAACTTGCTCACAATAAGATACAAATAACAGATAGTACTGCGAACGTAAATAATTGTTTTTGGCTGACAAAATAAGAAATGTAAATTTCCAAAATAGGGCGGGCAAGATCAAATCTAACGAATATTTTTATTGCTAATTAGCTTCACGCCCCCTCAAAAAATTGTCTACGCCTCCCTTGCGGGGCGCATCACCGTTTGAGAACCACTTATCTAATCCTATGTTCACCTTTACTTTCAACTTTCCTTCTTTACCTGCCTTCAACCGTTTACAGCTACAGAACCGCTTTAAAACTACCTGCGTTTTTTTCAATTGATTTACCCAATTGCAATGATGCTCTCAAATTAAGGTGACTTATGTATATATGCAATCCATCTTGCAATTGTTTTAATTATTTGATTTTTATGTCACCAGGAAGTCACAGTTGGCGAAACATGTCTTGTCGACAAGTTTCAACTCAGTCCTATTTGGATGACCCATACAGATATTCGCGTGAATTACATCCGTTTCCACTAGGCTTGCACGTAATTGACAAAAATCGATTCCGTAATTACGGCCAAATCGATTACGTAATGACCCCGCAATTGCGATATTTTTTTCCCACATTTAAACCTATCATAACAACCAATTT